GAACCATCAATTCAGCGAGGCAGTTCGGTGCCGCGATGCTTCTTGTTTCTCGATTTTCCCCCTAGACGCTCGATCGTCTGCTTGTGAATGGCAGGGTCATCCGGATTCAGGAGGTTGTACTTGTTGTACTTGTTGACATGAGCCTGGGTAAAGCCGGCCTCGTCCATTCGTTCAGTATTGTATCCTCGCCGATAATCGGAGTCAATTTAGGTTCCCGGCTCGATGTGTTCAATCATCGCTTCCAATAGGGTTTTGGTCTCGAGCGGTCTTCCACCTCGACCAGCAAACATTCCTTGGTTTCTCGGAAAACTACTCTAAATATCCACACCAGATATTCCACGCAAGGAATCCTAGTTGTTGAAGTCGACCGCGGTTCTGTGATTCATCTCCAATTCTTTCGCAGAATAGTCGATCGAGGTCCACTGTTGAGTCCATCCATAATCCTAGGATTGTGAGAAATGAAATTTTTGGAATTTTGGTGCTCTCCATCCATGAGCCAACAGGCAGGTCGATCGCTGTCCAGCACGACGTTTTGTCACATCCGCATTGGGGGTTCTGATTGAGCAATAGCTTCATAACGTGCTGGTTGGCGCATGTGCAAGTAATAAGCAAGATGCGGCGTTGTTGAAAGCACGAGATTGCATCAGCTTCCGTAGTCGGTAAGCCAAACATGATTCCATCGCGCCCTAAGAAAACAGAGAAAAATTATTTTCTGTGGTTTTCCTTGTTCATTTTCATGGAAGGATGCAAATTTGGCGGATGTATAACGGAAAAGAACCCTTTTCGCGTTGATAGTGAGCTAAAACTTACATATTATAGTTGTTAACCAAAAGATTTTGGATTTCCGAAGCCATTCGCTGCATTTTCTTTTGTTGTTCATACTGAGTGCTGCCCCATGTCCAATCCTTTTGATCCTCTTTAGCTCCGTGATGCTTGCTCATCCAATTTCGAATTCTTTCCTCTTCTTCGGACTTTTGGACCCAATTTGCCTAAAAGCTTCTTGTCCCTGCTGCCTCTCGTGGATTTACTAACAACTTTTTTTCGCAATACCTTTAACTATACGTAAAAACTCACCCCTATGCCTGTGTAGCATCCAACATTGAGAACGACTTCACCTTTGTACATCCATTTACGTCGCGGTCCACAAGTGATAGTTTTTGTCTCTAACGGTAAATCCATCATGTCGTTTATCTGAAACACATTTTTGAGGATAAACTGAAAAAGAAACTCCCACTCGAACAAGCGCGTAATGGTCTGGATCAGCAGTGCACGTGAACGTTCGATCGATCCGAAAATATTGACTGTAATTGAGTGATGAAGATAACCGGACCATAGCTGCGGGCAAGCCTTGATCGAGTCCGAGCTCATTAAGGTTTTCACGAAACACGCTTACTCAGACGTCACATCGCTCGTAAGGTTTCTCCAGTTGCCACCAGCCGAATGAATTTGAATTTTTGCACTCTGGTTCTTGCACTCTTCCATCCATTCTAAAAAAACAGTCAATAGACGAGTTGCCTAACAAAAAAAGAACAAAGTAATCGAAACAAACGGACCTTTATTTGCCGTCCCAATTTGTGCCAGTGAAACCACAAGCAAGACAACGAATTCTTTCTTCATTTACAACTAAAAAGCAAATTTTTTTAAATTTGAATTGTAAAAAGAGAAAGTTTAGTATAAAAACGAGCAGGTGTTGAAATAAATACTAAGACTTTGGAATTTGATTTGAGGACTTCATTTTCTCAAATTTCTATTTTCAAAAATTTTCACAAAACAAATTTCTATTTTCTGATTTAAAACTCTATGTTGTGACCATGATTCGATTCAAAAAGCATTTTTTTGAAAGAATCATACATTGTTTTTTTTTCCTGATAATATTTGGCTCAAAATAATTTAATGGAAAAACGAGAAGAAAAATTTTAGCGCTTTTACGACAAACTTTATCTGAGTTGCCATATTTTTGCTTTAAAAATAAATACTTTATTCTAAAATAAGATCAAACACCTAAATTTTGAGCTAAGCTTTCTTTTGAATTAAGCAGTTACCTAAGCGGGCTAACACAAAACTTTGCGTTGTAACCTGATAAAGGTCCCTTCCAAATTATTAGGTTGGAAAGAAAGTTCTAGGAAAATGTTTGCACGGTGATTTACTGTCGTTAATTTTAAATAAAGTTTACATGAATCCGTTCATATTTCATTACGATACACGGTTCTGAGTTTGTAACCATACTTATGCCGCACCCTGTAGTTACTTCAGTGCATTAAACAAAGTGGTATTGGGTTGGAAAGAAAGTTCTAGGAAAAAGGTTGCGCAGTGATTTCTCAAAAACCAACCCATAAATTCTTCCCAGATTTTTTGCTAAACTTGACTAAATTTCAATAAGTTTTTGACTAAAAAAACTAGAGTTGGCTTCAGGTAACAATAAGAAATAATAATTTTTCAAAAACCTCGAAAATTTTACGGAGCTACACTAATTTTTTACAAGTAATTTCTTGAAGTCCACTTGTAAATAATAGGTCAAAATATATATGCTTTATTCAGTTGAACTTCTCGAGAACTTTCTTTCCAACCTAATATTGTGTTTCGCCGTCCGAATTATTCGATTCACTTTTGTCGTATCCCGAATATTGAGATGTTCCGATGAAATGATTAAAATCGGGTTTTCCCACAATTTGATCAAAGAGTATCTCTGATGTGAAATCGGGAAATCTCTCGATGATACTTCGCAATAGATGCTCCGATTCATCTCTCATGAAATGATTAAGGGAAAGCTGCACTCATTCTTTTTTACAAGTAATTTCTTGGACTCGACTTGTAAATAATAGAACAAAATGTTCTTGAATTGGTGGATTCTTTTTTAAGAAATTCTAGTCAAACTTTTCCCGAGAACTTTCTTTTAAAACCTACTAGTTTTTTCCGATCTTATACTTCTAATGAAGATTTTACAGCAATGAATATTCTTCAAGTTTCAAAAGGAAGAAAATAAGCGTATAATGAGCTCGATTAATCAGAAAATGGCGTCGATTTTTCAATCTTCCTTCAAAATATTAGTTTATCCAGTTGGTTTAAACAATTTTAGCTAAAGTTGGATTGGCAGCTATCTTCGTGTCAATAGATAAAAGATAGCGCATAAAAAGTTTGGTATATAGCCTTTGACAGCAAAATTGACTTTAGAAGATGGAAATTCAACAATAAACACTTTTTATTTAGATCAAACCATAGGCTAATTGATGAAAATTTGCTATTTTTCGAACGGAAAGTACGAAAAGAAACGAAAAGCTTAATAGACAGCTATTTGGCTGGAACTTTAGGTCAATGGAAAGTGTTGCAAGCCGAGGTTTCGTTCCTTTTCGGTACTTCCGTTTAGAACCAACAAATCCACCAATTAAACTACGGTTTATTTCATTAGAAAGATCAATTATTTTTCTGCAAAATAAAATGAAACCGCATTTAAAATGTCTTATGTATGGACTTTTTTGAGAGCCTGAAGTCGGGTAGTATTGGAACCGTAATGGAACCGTATTAGATCAAAAAAAGAACCGTATTGGAACCGTATTGGAAGCGTAATGGAACCGTATTGGAACCGTATTAGATCAAAAATCGGGTAGTCAAAAAGGGCGACGGCTCGATGATGCGGACACTTTAGCTTTAGAAAAGGCACACTTTTCGCTAAGGAAATCTATCTTGGTATCCATAGATAAAAGATAGAAGTTAGGTTTATAAAGTTAGGTTTATAGCCAAATTCTCAGAGAAATTGATTCACCCAATTCCTTCGTAGAGGTTTTTATAGATTTTTATCAAAAATACGTCTTTTGACTCTTGAATTTGCTTGAAAGTGAAGCAAAATTGACTTAAAAAGATGGAAATTGAACAAAAAACACTTTTTATTTAGAAAAAACCATAGGTTAATTGGTGAAAATTTGTTATTTTTAATGGAAGTACGAAAAAGAAAGAAAAGACTTTCTGGAAAAGTTTAAATAGATACAAAGAACAACACAGAAAAGATACCCGAACAGTTTTTTTTTCAAATAAAGCCCTTAGCCAAAATTTTCTTACAGAGAAGCTTTTCACAAAAAATCATTTTTTGATGTCATCTTCTCGGCACTGAGTGTTTGCTAAAATAGGTGATTCTGAAAAGTGAAAGCATTAGATCAAATTTGCCTTGATCAGAAATTTTCCTGATTTTAAGTACTTCCTTTTAGGTTTTGAAACGGGACCCATTGCCTTTTCTTTAACCAATTAAAAACTTGTCTAAAGACTGGCCACTCAAAAAGTGACCAAATCACTTCAGCCGAAGATATCTTTAATTTTGGTCAAAAGCTTTTTGAAATATCGTCAAGTCTAGCAAAAAATCTGGGAAGAATTGATGGCTTGTTTTTTGAGAAATCATTGTGCAAACTTTTTCCTAGAGCTTTCTTTCCAACCCAATACCACTTTGTTTAATGCACTGAAGTAACTATAAAGTATGCTCCAAGCATTCGTGGATTCGTGGATTTTTAAGCAATTCCAGTCAAACCTTTTCCTAGAACTTTCTTTCCAACCTAATAATTTGGAAGGGACCTTTACCAGGTTACAACCGCAAAGTTTTGTGTTAGCCCGCTTAGGTAACTGCTTAATTCAAAAGAAAGCTTGGCTCAAAATTTAGGTGTTTGATCTTATTTTAGAATAACGTATTTATTTTTAAAGCAAAAATATGGCAACTCAGATACAGTTTGTCGTAAAAGCCTAAATTTTTCTTCTCGTTTTTCCATTAAATCATTTTGAGCCAAATGTTATCAGGAAAAAAAGGAAAAAAATGTATGATTCTATCAAAAAAATGCTTTTTGAATCGAATCATGGTCACAACATAGACCTTTAAATCAGAAAATAGAAATCTGATGAGCAAATGAAGTCGTCAAATCAAATTCCAAAGTCTTAGTATTTATTTCAACACCTTCTCGTTTTTATACTAAACTTTCTCTTTTTACAATTCACATTTTTAAAAATTGGCTTTTTAGTTGTAAATGAAGAAAGAATTCGTTTTCTTGCTTGTGGCTTCACTGGCACAAATTGGGACAGCAAATGATAGTGAGTTTGTTTCGATCGACTACTTTGTTCTTTTTTTGTTACGCAACTCGTCTATTGACTGTTTTTTTAGAATGGATTGAAGAGTGCAAGAACCAGAGTGCAAACATTCAAATTCATTCGGCTGGTGGCAACTGGAGAAACCTTACGAGCGATGAGACGTCTAAGTAAGCGTGTTTCGTGAAAACTTTCCCGGGCTCGGCCTGGTGAAAAGCTTGATGAGCTCGGACTCGATCAAGGCTTGCCTGCAGCTATGGCCCTGCCCTTGGCTCAAGGCTTTTTGGTCGCTAGGGACAACCCAATTTATCTTCATCACTCAATTACAGTCAATATTTTTGGATCCAACGAACGTTCACGTGCACTGCTGATCCAGACCATTTCGCTCTTGTTCTAGTGGGGGTTTCTTTTTCAGTCTATCCTCAGAAATGTTTTTCAGATCAACCACAAGATAGATTCATCGGCAGACACAAAAACTATCACTTGTGGATCGCGGCGTAAATGGATGTACAAAGGTGAAGTCGTTCTCAATGTTGGATGCTATACAGGCATAGGGGTGAGTTTTTACGTATAGTTAAAGGTATTGCGAAACAAGAGTTGTTAGTAAATTCACGAGAGGCAGCAGGGACAAGAAGCTTTTAGGCAAATCGGACCCAAAAGTCCGAAGAAGAGGAAAGAATTCGAAATTGGATGGGCGAGCATCACGGAGCTAAAGAGGATCAAGAGGATTGGACATGGAGCAGCATCCAGTATGAACAACAAAAGAAAATGCAGCGAATGGCTTCGGAAATCCAAAATCTTTTGGTTAACACCGATAATATGTAAGTTTTAGCTCACGATCAACGCGAAAAGGGTTCTTTTCCGTTATACATCCGCCAAATTTGCATCCTTCCATGAAAATGAACAAGGAAAACCACAGAAAATAATTTTTCTCTGTTTTCTTAGGGCGCGATGGAATCATGTTTGGCTTACCGACTACGGAAGCTGATGCAATCTCGTTCTTTCAACAACGCCGCATCTTGCTTATTACTTGCACATGCGCCAACCATCACGTTATGAAGCTATTGCTCAATCAGAACCCCCAATGCGGATGTGACAAAACGTCGTGCTGGACAGCGATCGACCTGCGTGTTGGCTCATGGATGGAGAGCACCAAAATTCCATTTCTCACAATCCTACGATTATGGATGGACTCAACAGTGGACCTCGATCGACTATTCTGCGAAAGAATTGGAGATGAATCACAGAACCGGGGTCGACTTCAACAACTAGGATTCCTTGCGTGGAATACCTGGTGTGGATATTTAGAGTAGTTTTCCGAGAAACCAAGGAATGTTTTCTGGTCGAGGTGGAAGACCGCTCGAGACCAAAACCCTATTGGAAGCGATGATTGAACACATCGATCCGGGAACCTAAATTGACTCCGATTATCGGCGAGGATACAATACTGAACGAATGGAGGAGGCCGGCTTTACCCACGCTCATGTCAACAAGTACAACAAGTACAACTTCCTGAATGCGGATGACCCTGCCATTCACACGCAGACGATCGAGCCTCTATGGGGAAAATCGAGAAACAAGAAGCATCGCGGCACGTCATTTCCTACCGAACTACCTTGCTGAATCCATGGTTCGACGAGAAGTGCGAAAGGATGATTTCTACGAATGGGTTTGGCAACAAATTGCTAAGGCATGGATTGCTCATTGATTAATAATCAGGGGTTGTTTTTGTGGATGTATAACGGAAAGGAACCCCGATAAGTTTCTGAATAAAACTTTGACTTGCAATGTTTTCTGTAATTTTCAGAATCAGGAAGCAAGTCGCCGTTGTACCGGCGGACTATGTGGAAGCTTGGCCGGAATCACAGGCCCGGTCAGAGGACAACTACTACATGAGAACGGCTTTCGTTGGCTTTGGAGACGATAACTCCGTGCTGGAATTTGCGAACTATGTGGTATTTGTATTTCGTGGTGGCTTTCCGAACGTATCAAAACCTGATGCAAAAGAAGATATCAGGTCAGGCGAGTATTTATTAGGCTGGCTAATAAGTAATGGTGGATTTGCTGGTAGCTAGCCTCAAACTAAACCAATCTTAGCGAGTTTGGTCTTATTCAAAAGCTGTATTCAAGAGGAACACAGTAGCGAAGACCATTTGTTGATTCGTTCCGTTTTCAAATTTTTATAAGCATTTAAATGGTACATAGTCAGCTTCGCACCCAAAAAAGTGTCAAAATCACATTTCAGGATCACTAAATTTTAACTGGGCGGTTTGGCGACTCGTTGATGCGAGAGTCGAGGGTTCGACTCCTAGCTGTGACCAAAGTTTCAACTTTTTTTTGCAAAAAGACCTAACAAGGAGATGCCACAAAATGGTCTTAGCAGATATTGACGCCGTTGAAATGCAAACGCCAAGCGGGCACGGTGAATCCGATTCTGTATTCAGTTTTTGTCCAGATTCAAAAACACACAAGAAAAACGCATCCAAAGCTTGGGTGTCTACTCGGGGAAATCGTGCCGCGGGAACAAACATATTTTTATCCTAGGTTTTTAACTGAAAAATTGACGAAATGTGACTTTGACACTTTTTTCGATCTGACCAAGCTCACTCAAATGCTTTTAAAAACTTGAAAACCGAACGAATCTAAAAATAGTTTTCGCTACTGTGTTCCTATTGAATACAACTTTCGAATAACTCCAAACTCGTTAGGATCTGGCCGGGATCGGGCCTGGCTTTTTTCGGCACAACCCACAACGGTTTGAGAAACTGGCGTTTTGGTGGTTGGGAGCCACCTATATTTTTGATTTTTCCACTTTTCTTGAGGTAATCGAGGACTCGAGAAAATGAATCGAGGTAATCGAGAAAATAAAATCAAAAGCACGTTAGGATCAGGCGGGGATCGGGCCTGGCTTTTTTCAAGCCTGTTTACAAGGGTTTGGAAAACTTCTTCACATTTCTTTGCTTTAAAACTTAAGCTGGCGATCACTGGTCAGAGTTAGAATTGAGATAATACTTTATTTTAGTCGCTACTTTCAAGCCCCTTCTCAACGGCAAGACCGACACGACGGGATCCATTCGCTAGCAGAGCGTGCAGCGACTTATGGTGATAAATGGGTAGGACGTGTCGACATTGTGACTGTTTTTCGAAAAGGAGCAAATCACAAAACGTGCACTTATCTCTATGGAGCATCTGGTGATTGGATGATTTCTGAGGTGAAGACGTGGAGTCGGCCATGTGCAGCTGGATGTGGAGATGTTTGTGTTGCGCATTTAACTGCTTGATGTCGTTTGAATAAAGGAATACATGAAAAAGATTCCAAGTAACGCAAGAAATCAGAGAAAAAGAAATGGGGCCTTAAAACAAAGCCCCTAAATTTTTAAATGATTTTTCATGGAATTGACATTCTAAAATTGAACAATAGTTGATTACATTCACATCTCTAAAATAATTTTCTCAATTTCAACCAAAACAAAAAAGGAATCTCCCCACCATTACAAAAAAAAAGAAAGGGTGATTTTTTTAAGGTGTTAAAAAAATTCGGAGAATTTAAAAAAAATAATTTTCTTCTATTATTTACAAGTCGACTCCAAGAAATTACTCGAAAAAATGAGTGCCGCTTTCCCATAAAATTTTAGAGATTTTTGAAAAATTATTATTTTCCAGTTTAAATTCAGCTCACTCTTTGCACCAGAAAAACGATTCCTTATGAGATAAAGCTAGCATAAATAAGCAATACGCTCTATAATCTCTATCTTTAGCCAAAATTTTCTTACAGAGAAGCTTTTTCAAAAAATCATTTTTTGATGTCATCTTCTCGGCACTGAGTGTTTGCTAAAATAGGTGATTCTGAAAAGTGAAAGCATTAGATCAAATTTGCCTTGATCACAAATTTTCCTGATTTTAAGTACTTCCTTTTAGGTTTTGAATGGAACTCATTGCCTTTTGTTTAACCAATTAAAAACTTGTCTAAAGGCTGGTCACTCAAAAAGTGACCAAACCACTTCAGCGGAAGAAATCTCTTATTTTTACCTGAAGCTCACTATGTTTTTTTGTCAAAAACATTTTGAAATATAGTCAAGTTTATCAAAAAATCTGGGAAGAATTGATGGCTTGTTTTTTGAGAAATCGCCGTGCAAACTTTTTCCGAGAATTTTCTATCCAACCTATTACCACTTTGTTTAATGTACTGAAGTAACTACAGTAGGGTCCAAAAGTTTGAAACAATCACCTTCCGGCAACTTTAACTCGATGTAACTTGCGTTAAGTACATTCAATTTGTTACTTTAAAAGCTATTTTTGTTGCATTTTTTGTGGACTTTCTGAATGTCTACTTGATTTTATTTGATATTTGATCTTTTTTTTTGTCTTGCTCTTTTTCTTGGAACACCCATTTTTTAGGGGTCCAAAAGTTTGGAACAATTTCAAAAATAACAATTTATTTAACGATTAACCGGCAAAATTCAGTATTTTGTGGCGTATCCCTTTGCTTTAATAACAGCTGCGCAACGATTTGGCATCGAACCAATCAAATTGTCAATGATTTGCCTTGGGATCTTAGTCCATTCCTCCTCAAGCGCCTTCATGAGTTCTGATGTTTTTGTGAAGTTTCTGGTTCGGATTTGTTGGTCCAAACGCTCCCAAAGATGCTCTATTGGATTCAGATCAGGGCTTTGAGCCGGCCATTGAAGCACATCGATGTTTTTTTGTTGAAGCCATTGCTTAACACGCCGGGCCGTATGCTTCGGATCGTTATCGTGCATGAAAATGAAGTCGTTGGCCAAGTTGTTTCTGCCGTGTGGAAGCATATGGGTCTTCAAGATGTTTTCATAAACAGCTGCATCCATAATACCATTGATTCGGACAAGTGGACCGACACCGTATCGTGAAAAACAACCTAAATTCAAATAAGCTCCGTTGATAATGGAGGTAACCAACCCCAAACGAGAACTGATCCACCGCCGTGTTTGACTGTTGGAATTTGATACTTTGGATTGTTTCTTTGATTAATTGAACGTCTAATGTATCGAATTCCATTGGTGGAAAAGAGCTCATATTTGCTTTCGTCACTCCACAATACATCACTCCAATCATCAGCCGACCAGTCTTTGTACTTCTTGGCAAACTCGAGCCGAGCCTTCACGTTCTTGCCGGAAATTAACGGCTTTCGAGACGAACGACTTCCTTTGAGTCCTTGTCTCCTAAACAGCAATATTTTATTGCTTTTTAAATCATAAAATTACTTTAAGATGCGCTTAGCCGTCGTTTTGGAGAGCGAAACTCTATAGCTTGACTCGGCGTCTCGACGTAGATCAGCCGAATTGAGGCGTGGATTCTTCTTAAATGGAAGCACAAGTGTCCTCTTATCACGCTCATCCAGTTTAGCTGGCCTTCCCTTTGTTGCTGCTCGTTTCAAATTTCCGGAAACCTTCCATTTGTTATAAATCTTGGTTACTGCTGAATGGGTGACACCGAATGTTGTGGCGACTTCTTGACGGCTCTTTCCTCGATTTACTTCAGCCACAATAAGTTCTTTATCATACTCCGTCAAATTCGAACGATTTGGCATCTTAAAATTAAAAATGTATTGATATTTTTGAAATTGTTCCAAACTTTTGGACCCCTAAAAAATGGGTGTTCCAAGAAAAAGAGCAAGACAAAAAAAGATCAAATATCAAATAAAATCAAATAGACATTCAGAAAGTCCACAAAAAATGCAACAAAAATAGCTTTTAAGGTAACAAATTGAATGTATTTAACGCAAGTTACATCGAGTTAAAGTTGCCGGAAGGTGATTGTTCCAAACTTTTGGACCCTACTGTATAAAGTATGCGTCAAGCATTGGTGGATTCGTTTTCATGAAATTCCAGTCAAACTTCTCCCTAGTACTTTCTTTCCAACCTAAATAGGTTTCATCTTACTAAAATGTGCAAATGGTAATAAAATACAACTCAGAAAGATCGAAATCAAACAAAAAGATTTTAGAAAATATATAAGAGAAACAAGGCACTTGATTCAACAATTGATTTGATTTTCAAAGAGACCAAAAATTTCAAGTTTATATCATAATAGACTTATAATACGGTAATCATTACATTGATATCGATATCAATAACATTGATCAATATCAATAAAATCGATCAAGACGATCATTACATTGATCAGTAACAATAAAATATCAATACCAATTTTACGAGTATGCAAAATTTTAGTCTCTATTTATTTTGTTCAAATTGAAACCATCATTTTTTTCCTTTTAGTCAACAAATCTCTCGAGATCCGAGGTCAAAATACGGCTTTTCGGCTTTTTCGCTTCTTGTTGTCGAATTCTGGAAATTTATTTTAATTCTATATTTAAAAAAACAAATCTCTAAAGATAAAGCTCTCATTCTTGATGTTGAGCGGTTGAATTTATAAATTATTGGCAGCATTGGATGCGCCAAGTCTTTCTCTGTCGATTGGTACAAAAACTATTTCACAAACAACCCAACATCAAGCTCAAAGTTGAGCTCAAAGTTGGATGAAAGTTGATCCCAAAGCTCAAAGATTTCAGCTCAAAAATTTGAGCTCAAAGAGCTCAGCTCAAAGCTGATCTCAAAGCTCAAAGGTATTTGAGCTCAAAGTTCGATTGTCAATGGCAAAGGGCGCAATGCCCGACAATCGTTGAAACACCCACTTATTCACCACATCGACAACGGTCACTCGATCCGGTCGATCAACGGTACCCGTCTTGAAAATGTTGTATTGCCATCTGAAGTTAAACTTGTCATCTATTATAAGTTAAATATTCAATCTACCGATTCACAACAGCCAAACAAAATGCCGGTGATCCGTCCTCGTTCGTGTGATCGGGGATCGTCCAATGAACGTCCTAAAAAACGGAAAACGACTAAATTTATACAAAAATTGTTCTAAATAATTGAAAATGATTCTGTTTGGCTCTATTCAATTATATAATGACTTAAAGTTATTGTGTAACTTAATAAAAATCAGATGACTTAAATAGAAATGCATGACCTAACTTCAAATCTTTTATCTATGTCTATTTGTTATTAATGGGTTGATTTTTGAAAGCAATCAAAAACAAGGAGGAAGGCAAAAATGGCTGTGATAACAGAAAAAGGTCCACGAACAAACGGAAACTTTTTGGACGGCCGGCTGGACTTGGCTGGAATTTGCAGAAAAATTCAGCCAAATTTAGGCCAGGAATTGACCCTCAGGGATTTGAGTGCGTCTCATATTTCGAGACGCACTGTATTGGCGTCTTTTGTTCAGAGAGAGAATCAGATCAGAAATGCTCCTGACTGATATGACTCAACAAAATGAATAGCTTCAATTGATTCGCCGATCCCGAAAACCCCCGGGTACAAATTTACAGCTGAAGATCTTCTTTTGGAGCCATCTACAAAGCAAAAAGAAACCTCTATGACTGGCGAGTTGTTCTTTGTGCGGTCGCTTAATTGCTCACCGTCTGGTATACCTATCAGGTATAATGTGCTTCCCTTTTTGAATCGACCGAGCGACCGAGCCGGTTCTGCCGCCTTGGACGCCAATACAGTGCGTCTCATATTTCGAGACACCCTCCACCCCAAATTTTCTCTGTTTGAAGCGTTTTCACAGTTTGTTGGCAATCGAAATGTTGTTTTTCGAGATCAGCGATCAATTTAGATTTTATTCGAAAATCTAAATTGATATTGTTTATTCCAAAAAAATAACAGAAATAGCTTTGAAAATAAAAAAAATTAAGAAATTTAAATGTCCCAAATTTCGAGAAACCTTTGAAAGTTTTTGCGATTTTCTCGTTTTATGTGTTTTTTTTTATTTTACTTTGTGTTTTGTGTATATTCACTGTTTTTTTTTAATCTATTTCTTTAGAATGACGGGTTACAAGCGGTAGAATGGGAGTACAACTCGGACAGATCGATGCTCTACACAAAGCCGAGCACGGATACGGATTCATCGCAAAAACACTGAAGCTGTCGAAGTCTGGAGTCCGAAATGCTAGTAAAAGGACTGAAAATCCAAGTAGAAAACAGAAACCGGTACCAAAGCCCAAAGTTAGTCAACGAGAAAAGCGACATTTCTTGAACTTCACATCAAACAACCAGAAATCATGTCGAAAGCTCGCTCAGGAATGCGGATTGAACATTTCAAAGTCAACAGCACATCGAATTCTGATTCAAAAAGGAAAGCACTCTATATCCGACAGTTATACCAGACGGCGAGCAATTAAGCGACCGCACAAAGAACAACTCGCCAGTCATAGAGGTTTCTATTTTGCTTTGTAGATGGCTCCAAAAGGAGATCTTCAGCTGTAAATTTGTACCCGGGGGTTTTCGGGATCGGCGAATCAATTGAAGCTATTCATTTTGTTGAGTCATATCAGTCAGGAGCATTTCTGATCTGATTCTCTGAAGAAAAAACTGAGAACAGATAGATTAAGATAAAAGATTTAAAGTTAGATCATCCTTTTTCTTTTTAATAAGCAATCCGATAATTTTTAAGTCATTTTGTAATTGAATAGAGCCTTCTATTTTATATGGGCTATTGAAAATATAATTCAAAAGATATTTAAAGTGAGAAATACGAGCTTTATGGCGAAATTGTTCAATGGTGAAAAATGTGTTTCAAATAAGGCGTCAGAACACACGCTTTAATCGCTTTAACATTTTTATTTCAAAAACTCTCACCTGTGAAACCATATTCGGGTTTTTAATGATCAAGACGCCCCACGATCCGCCGTGGATATCCTCGAGCACTCGACGAATCATCTGGAAAAACCTACCGTAAATACTGTAATAGTACCCCACTGCCCTCGTACAGTCGCGTAGTCGCGTAGTCGCAAAAGTTTTTTAGTATTTCATTTTTTTCAAAGCGCCCGTACTTTCAAAAAATGCGTCTTTGGTATCAAAAAATAGCTGAAATTCAGGGCTATTTTTTGATACCTAAGCGCGCATTGTAGCATAAACCAGTGTCGAGAAAAACTTGTTCAAAGCTAGACTACGCAACACCCCGCACCGTCAAAGCTAGACTACGCGACACTCCGCACCATCATTATGGGGGTGGGGTACTATTACAGTATTTACGGTAGTTTCAATTTAATAGATCAAAATTTAATGGATCGTTTGCCAACAAATTGTGAAAACGCTTCAAACAGAGAAATCCAGTTGGAGGCGAATTCGTAGTTGGAGGCATGCAATGAATTTTAACGATATCCAGAATTTCCATTGAAATCCTACTGCAAAATCTTGTAACAAGCATCAAGCTGCTCACTCATTTACTTTCAGCTTTTTATAGAAAATCGTAAAGTCCGATTTATTTTATTTCTTACTCACATCAGTGCTTCAAATAAGCTTCTGTTACCAAAAGAATCCAAATGATACAAACCGATTTCCCGAGTCTGGTCTAGCCTTGCGGCTAGACCCAGACTCAAAAAAGTATCTGAGCTGGCTTTCCTACAACCCTAGAGCCCAATTAAACCATCCCAGCCCAAATAAGACAAAAAAAAATCGATTCTACTTTTATGTATTTCCGATCTGAATTTCAATTTAATTTCTAGATACCGATTTCAATTTAATTTCTAGATACGGATACCCCTGCAACTTAACGCCCTGCAACTTGATCAATTAAATTGAAACGTTTTTCAAATCACCACCTGCATTTGTGTGGCTGGATCTTTCGTTGAAGTGGCTGCTCGTTGAATGATTGCCCGAACGGTAGCCATTGGGCAATTCTGAAGGGCTAAAATTCTGTCTAGATTTCGTTTAGCAAGTGAATCTAGGGTAAACCTAACTGTCAGGTAAATCTACCGTAATCTTGCCTTGACTAATCATATTTTTATTCATTTACCCAAACTCTGCGGTTAAAAATCACTTACAGTCAAAGTACGGTAACTTTAGCCATTTTTTGGAGGGCAATCACTAATTAGAAGGCAGCCAAATTAGAAGGCAAGCCAGAGTACTCTGCGCCAAAGCCAGAGCCGAGCCAGAGTTTTTGTTGACGGCGTTCGATTCATTTTTGTCTTCCAGTAGGTTGAATGATCGTATACTCGTTTTATTCTTGTTTTTCCCTGTTTTCCTGGTTCATTCTTGTTCTTGTTAATATCATTTTGTGGTTATTTTAACTACATTACATGGTTAAAAGCCTTAAACCATTGTCATGAAAAGCAGGGGAAACACTCCGTACCCCCAAATTTTTCCTTTAATTTGGGGATCTAAACCGAAAAAGTACTAAAAGAATGATTTTAACTAACTACTAACTAACTAATTAACTAACTAAATAACTAACTAACTAACTAACTAGCTAAATAACTAGCTAACTAACTAACTAACTAATTAACTAACTAGCTAACTAAATAACTAACTAACTAACTAACTAATTAACTAACTAACTAATTAACTAACTAACTAATTAACTAACTAACTAACTAATTAACTAACTAACTAACTAATTAACTAACTAACTAACTAACTAACTAACTAACTAACTAACTAACTAACTAACTAGCAACTCAATAACTAACTAACAAAAAAGTACTAACCATCATTAGTTGACCCTTACTTTTTTGAAATCTCTCAGTTTTTAATTGAAATATTCTTTTTAAGTCATATAGAATTTTAAATCTACTGTAATCTAATCTAATAATCTTAGTATTTTATTAGAATAAGTGAAGAGTAACTGAGCATAAATTTTCATGCGGCATGAGTTTTCTAAAGTGCGTCGCATGAATGCATGAATAGCATGAATTTTAGAAGTTGCCCCCTTTTCACCCGTTTTTTTGTCAGTTATTATTTTCTTATTTAGGTGATCAATGCTGGCGGTTAGTCACGAGTCGAGTCGAGTTGACTTTTTCAAAATTCCCATGGTGGCTGCCGGTCGTCGTATCGAATGGGTTTTCAAAACCACACCGCCGACATGGACCAAGTGGTGACGGTGCCGCAAAGCAATTCCGCCGTGAATGGTTTCAAGTAGACTTGACTATCGAGAGCTTATCAATATCTCGATAAGTTCTCCAAAATCTTTAACAATCATAAAACCCAGGTCTGGAATATCGACAGTCGTATTCAGCGCATCGAATTACCCCGAAATCAGCCTCAGTTAAAAGGATTTGATATTTGATTGACGGTGAATCACTTAAAGTTTTATCACTGTGGATCAGCCCTCGGTATCGATAATATCGATAAGCCTTGAGATCTCGATAGTCAAGTCAAGTTTCCAAGGAAATGGAATGGTCCGTCACAAGAACTTGCTTGCATGGTTCAAATAAATCGTTCCCATTTCTTTCAAAATGCATCTAATAAAGGGTAATCTGTGGTACAAAGAGTATGATAGAAGTATTGCCACACACACACATATTTAAACCGATCGAGTTTCCGAATTCAATTTTCGCGCATCACGATTTATGACCACTTTTTCATGGGTTTAGGTAAAAAATGACCGCAATTTTTGTAATAAAATTATATTTTAGTGAAATTCTGTGGAGATCAGACAAGACAAGAGTCATTTTTTGCATAAGTTGCCTTTTAGAAAGCAATGGATCCGTAAAAACTTCAAACAACTCACCCGCCGACAAAACCATTCCCGGAAAAAGCAGCAAACACAAGGCCCTCATAACTTTCGAAAATCAGAAATATGAAAATTCTTTCTTATTTCACACATAACTGCAATTGGTCACTCTTCTTTTTGTATTGTTATTCATTTTTCTCAATTTTTCCTCGTCTTCTCTGTAAGCTTTTGACTTCTCAAGTGTTTTCTCTCACCATTTTCCTTCCAGTCATTTTCACTTCACTGCGCTCCTTGAATTGGGAAAAGCGCTGAAAAAGAGAAAAATAAGATGCAAACTCATCTTTTGAAATCAACAAATTTATTTCTAACAAGTAAAAGTAACAGGGATTAAAATTTAAAACAAATAACAGTGGGACTATGTTTAAAATCACAAGAGAAAAAGTTCAACAATAACAACAAAATTACATGTTTCCCGGTTTTCGGCCTGATTGTCGGAGAAGATAGTTTCGAAGACTTTTTTGTTGGTCACGGAACGATCGTTGCCTGCAAAATGAAAGTCTCTCTTGAAAACAGATAGGTTCCACAACAAATTTGAACTCAACTTACCGATTCTGTCCTCGCTTCTTTGCGCGAACCATTTGGAAGACTTTCTTCTTCGCCAGTTCACGATTTGTACGCCCAACGTGTGGACCCTATAATGGAAGGATGAATAGATAAAACACTACTTAAAAAATAAAAAACCAAGCTTACATTCTTCTTTTTCTTGCCATAATCCTCTCGCCCTTCCCTTCCTTCTTCGACTCTTTCCAATCTTTCGGCCTTTGTTTCCTTCTTTTTCTTGTGGAAGTGTTCGATAGCGTTCAGACGAGGCAACCCATCACTTGTATCTCTTCTAAATCCTCGATCATTTAAAGCAAAAAAAAAGCATTAAACTTACGTTTGGAACGTTTGCAAAACTTCTTCCTCAATCAATCGATCATCGTTCGTCAAATGTTCTCGTTTCTTTCCACCGCGTGCAAGGCGTTTTGAACCGAGAATCTAAATCACGTTATTAAAACAATGAATAATAAAATTAAAGCAAAGAGAACTAACATGTTTCTTGATTTGCCACTGACGAATTTTCTTAAACTCGGCCTGTGTGAGAATTCGATCATTGCTGATTGTTGCCGCCTAAACCAGCAAATCAGAGAAAGTTTAATTGTATTCACTTTTTCTGCAGCATTTGTTGATGTAGAAAGAGTTGTTGATGGTGATGGTGATGCTGCTTCAATTTCTCGTTCATCATCTTCGTCACCTTCTTCATCGGACACCTCCTCATCCTCCCCATCTTCTTCATCAAACTCTAACTCTTCATCATCATCGTCGATTTCCTCGACCTCTTCATCGCCTTCCTAAAAATGTTCCAACTTAAAAATAAAGCCAAAATCAAACACCTCTTCTTCATCGTCATCTCCCTCAATTTCCTCTTTGTTTTGCTTTTGCGTTTTGCCGGAGGCTCTTCAGCACCAGATTCTTCTATACAGATTTGTTTCAAAGTTTATAGCTATTTATTAACCTGATTCACTGTAGTCTTCCCACTCCTCTTCTTCATCAGATCCAGAACCAGACTTCTAAGAATGCATTTATGGATCATTCATAAATTTATACCTCTTCATCTTCATCAATTAGTTGCTCATCGTCCAAGCATTCAGCACCAGGAACGAAATCACGAACAATTGGAGCCGCATAAGCGCGATATCTAAGCGCAATTTTGTAAATACATATGGTTCGACGTCTTCTCACTCTTCAGCTGTCTCATCTTTTCCATCAACAGGGCGACCACGATCTTTCTTCTTCAGAAGTTTCGGATTCAGTGTTCGACAGAGTGCAACCAAACCTCGAGCCGCCATTGAGACGTTCTTATTCTTGTACTGCTTGTACTAAAATAAAAATTTTAGTGAAGAAACAATATTTTGTACTCACTTCAGCTAGGTCCCTCATGAGCTCTTCTGTGGCAGCAAAAGGACAGTTGGCCAAAATCTCACGAATCGCATTGATGCCAACGGTGATAGCTTCGGGAGAATTTCTAAAATTAAAGATGAAAGTGCTATGCAACAAACAAAAAACAATATATGTTCACAAAAGTATTTTTTACCTGTCAGTGATGAATTCTTGAGCAATGCAACGAAGTAGTTGTTCAATCGTATCTGGCGGTACCAAATCGTGGCAAGCTTGTGCAGCGTAGAGAAGAATTCGAGTAACCTAAAAATTTTCTATAATGAAATACAAAAGAAAATTACATCTCTTTGTCGTGGTTGCATGTAGCGATGAAGATATGAGTAGAAGCCAAGTGTTTGAAGTTTGTGAATACCCGCCAAACGAGCGATTAAAGCAATTCGGAAGAGACGAATCTAAACTTTATCTGATGTAACTAGAAAAGGTTGCTCGAATACCTCGAATTTGTCAATCTTCTTCTGTTCAAGCATCCCAAAGAGACGATCCGATAAGGCTTGAGGATCGTAAAGGAGTTGAATAGCCAGCAAATTGCATTCCTTTGATCGTCCTTCTAAAAACATTTATAAACACCATTAGCGACTTGTAAACTCACCTTTTTTCGACTTTCTCTTCTTGCTTAGCATCTTCTTTGCCTTTTCGAAGTCCTTTGTTCTCTTTTTTGTCTTCTTGGCATTACGATAACTTTGCATAATCTAACAATAAACAAAGTCATAATATTATATTCGCATTGGATAACTTACATCTTTAAGAGTTTTCTGCTCAGCATCTTTCTCCGCAGCTTCCTCATCGTCCTCTGAATCAACCTCAATACCCTCTTCGTCTTCTTTCGAGCCAAGGAAGAACTTCATAGCAGTAACCTTTAAAAAAAAGTAATAAATGCGTACCTATATGGACTAATGTTACCTGCATTTTTGGCAACTTGTGAAAGCAACACTCGGCAATAGCGTTTGCCGTCTTTGCATCTCTCCAATATTGCTTTCGGAATGCATCGATGAGAATCAATTGAGCCACACGTGCAATGATTGATCGAGAATCCTAAGAAAATATTTACAAACAAATAATTTTTTAATCACCTTCAGTTTTGTAAGACAAAAGTTTTGCAGCTTCGATAAAGCTTTTGCGTTTTTCTTTAAATAAAGACGCTTCAAGTGGGCTCCAATCGATGTGATGATGAATTTCCTACAAAATCCGAACATATGAGCATAAATTTTTGTCAAACCTCAAACGTTTATCCTCAACTTTTGTTAATTCAAAGAATAGCTCGGTAATCTCCAAGGGTTCAACCATGTTTTTGTTGCGTAGGCATACTAGGGCTTTGCAGAATTGCATTCGAACCTAAAATTATAAATGTTTCATATAGATTCGAGTTAAATACCTCAGCATCAAGTCCCGGGGCTTGTTCTCGTAAAATCGTTTGCAAATGAGCAGAGAATTCTTTGGCTTCCGCTAAAATAAATTTTTCTTGACGCTTAGTAGAAAAAGTCGACTAACGTACTTGGATAAAACTGTGCCACTCCGGCCAGGAAAATGATTGTGTCGAGTAATGATTGCACCTCCAATTTGTGCATGGCCGGTTGAAGTTGAAGCAATTTCATCGTCTGGGTGTAGAAATACAGTTGCTCATTGAATTCCTAAACCACAAAATTGAAAAACAGTTTTTTAACCTCAAACATACCTCCTTATACGATTCCGGATCTTTGCGCACGATTTCCTGCATCAGTCCCAAATTACTCTCGGACATGACGAACCTAAACGTAGATAAAGTTAGTTTTGTTTGTTTAAAAACCAGATTTTATATCTTGAGCTCCAAGTTTTTAAAGCTTTTATTATAAGAACTAAGTTTAACGATGAAAATTTCAAACCCAACCTGCTCTTCTTTCCCGACACCGCCGGTGGCATCATCGGCAAAGCGGTGGCCGTCATTTTACCTGAACAAAAATTTCAATTTCAATTTCCAAAAGAACTTTAGCTAAAAATATAGAAAACTCATCGAAATGAGACGAAAAATAAAAGTTAGGTAATAAATTATCACACGTAATCTTTACAAAACAAGCACCCCGCGCCAGGACCGCGAAAAGAATTTCGCGCAAAGAAAAAATAAAGAAATTTTCAAAACTCGGGTTCGAACGATCAAAAAGTATCTCTACAACTGCTATAATTGCCAATTTTTGATGGTAAACAACTTCATTATCGCTTTTCGGGCTAGGAAATTGATCTTTCGATTGTTTTTAACTAAAAGTGTGACGAAAAGGTAATTTCGAAAAGCGCTGCTTTGCTCATCACATGAATTTCACATGACCTTCAAACTCGGTTTAGCCAATTTGTTTCTGTGCATCTTTTTCGAAAACCTTTATTTTTATAAAGCTTTTCCAACTTTTTAAAATCATTAGCTTGTTAATCGAATATCTTTAACAGCTGGATTTAAATCACAAGTTTGTAAAATCTTATTGTTGCATTTATTTGCTCTCATTGATCGTTCTTGTTTATCCGCAATATTATTTTTTTTTCCGGTGGTCACGATGGAGCTACTCTTAAACAAAATAGTGAACGAGCCCAGAGCCTACTTTTGCTATCAAGAAGAGGCTGAAGGCGAAACGCCGCCAATTTCCGACGATGAGAAGAAGAGGATTGTCGACGAACTCTTTCAACAAAACAAAACACTGTTCCTTCAGCGATACAATTCGTAAGTTTGAGATTTGTTTCGTGGACGTTATGAAAAAAGCAAACAAGGAAGGCTCTTGTTAAATGGTGCTTTAGATTTTATGACTTGTTTATCTTTAGGTTTATGAACGTCGACGACTGCTCGCTATTCGACAAGGAGGACGATTTTATTGTGAAGCACTTCTTGGCACAGATCAGAAGAAGAGAAGCAACGCCTTCGACCAGTTCGATTAAACAAGGTTGAGGTACACTTTTTTGCTGAATTAATGTTCTTTAGAATTTGTAAAGGATACACCGAACAAAGGTCAGATCAGAAATCGACGTTTTGCTGCTCTCCAGAAAATGAAAAAGGAAGGACGGTTAGTGATTTTGCAATGATGACTCTGACCAACTTGTTTAGGTATTTTTCCAATGAGAAAATGCGTGAACGCGAGCCATTGTTATTTGACAAAATGATTGGACGGTATCTCGATGAGAAAGGTATAAAAGCGAGCACGTGTTGATTAAAAAAACGTTTTAGAACAGCTAAATCTTCGGCCAACGGTGAGCAGAGCAGGTGGATGGTCAAGAATTGTCGAACAATTTGAGGAAAGTATGGAGGTTGCGGATAGAAGAAACGAACATAGCACGATTTGGGATCATGGAGATGATCACACGAGGCATGTGAGTTTATTTCTTTAAGTTAGAGCGTTATGGTGAATATGATTGTTTATAGGATGAGCATCAGTCTCGGTTCTTCTCTCACGTCGCAAACAAGCTAGATGATGAATTTGTTCCAGAAGAAGATGAGATGGAAGATCAACCACAAGTAGCTTTTAGTATTCGACTTGAAGAAATTTAATTTTAAGGAGGAAAATGATGGACCGCTTCGAGAAATCAAGGAAGAAGTCAACAGAATACATGACGACATGATGCTGGAAGTAAAAAATTACTTTGCGATTTCAATATATATGTTCTAGTTTGATGAAGACGAAGACACTAATCCAGAAGTGTTGCAAGAAGAATTCATCGCTTATATGGAGGATCGCTTTATGGCAGGAAAAGATGAGAAGTAAGGTTGATTGCAAATTATTGTAGTTTTATTTGTTTAGTTTTTTTGACTACACAATTGTCGACAATAACGCGACAATTGACGATAAAGATGTGATAAGAGAGCAGGATTTACAAGATCGATGGTTCGACCAGGAAGAGGCAGATTGAATAATTTGTTGTTATATTTTGTCGTTTTTTGTACATAAAGATTTAAACTAAAATGTTTATTATTTGAATATCAAAGGAGTTTGTTGCCCTCTGATTTCTTTGTGAACATGCATTTGATTAGACTGCTGATAAGAAGACTTTAGTGTTGACTCATCTGAGCATTTTGCCTTTATTCGTTTAGACACTTAAATCTCTTTTTTTCAGCTAGAATGCAAGCCATGGACATGTCGAAGCAGCCCGAAGTGAAGTGGTTTTACCTCGGACCCGATGATAATCCTTATGGTAGGAGGCTGATGATTAACTTTCTATTCAAAACAACTTTCAGGTAGCTTCAGCTCGAAGGATATGATGCAATGGGTTAATTCCGGCTACTTCGGCGATAACGTCCCAGTGCGAACGGAGAATGACCAGCATTTTTACCCTATTGGTGAATGGGTCCGTCTTTGCGGTGGAAAGGTTTGCTTTAATCCGCTTTTGGAAACTTTATTCTCTTTAATAGTTTAAAAGTTCAGCAAACAAGGATGTGGTACAATAACATATAGAGCGCTAAAACAGGGGTTGAAAATTCACATGATTTTTAAATTTCGGATATAGATCTATTATTCATTGTTTAGTTGCCATTCGGATTGCCTATTCACTCGTGGGATGCGGTGGCTTCTCAATTTACTCGACACCCGATTTCAATGCCCCCACCTCCAATGCATCCCGTCTTGCTTCCACCCGGACTCCCACCACCAAATATGACCGGCATGCATCCACAAGTAACGCCTATCTAAACTGATTACGGTAACCACTACTTTTTAGCGATATCCGGCATACATGCCGATGCCACCAAATGGAATGCACTCGCCTGCCGCAATTATGCAACCAATGGGAATGGGTCCACACGGAATGACTATGCAGCAACACATGGTTGCTCCGCTCATCTCGCAGCCTCCATCGGAGCCAAGAGACGGTCATCACTCGACAAATAGCCAGACACCCGATTCGGAAGGAGAAGTGGTTAGTTTTATATTCGTGAATAAAACACTTTGTTTTGATAGATGTTTTTGTTATATAAGATCATTTTAGTTTGTTGACGGTCAGAAGCAAAACGTTCTTCTCGAGACGCAAATCCTTATGACTGAGAAGGTAGTATCGGGATGTTTATAAATAAATTTGCAGTTTTACAGGTCTCTGTTGGAACTGAAACGATGAAACCCCAAATGTGCGATGCTTCTACGTCAACCCTACCTTTAATGGTGAGATTTTATTAAAAATAAACCAAAAAGTAAAAAGGCTATAACTTATCTTCTTGGTTTAGCTCAACGCTAAGGATGTTGCCCGTCTTCTTTCTGAGCTCTTCGGGCAAACTGTGCATATCACATAATTGGAGACTCCCCGCTAGTCGCCCATAAATACCGGTCTATTAAATGTTTGAACATTTCTTTTTCATATTGTTTTTCTTTCGTGTGAGTGTCTATCCAATTATTAGTCGTCATTTTCTATAGTACATTTGCCCTCAGTCAAAATGTCGTGATTTTTGTCAATTATTCAATCTCTCAATGTCTATCCGCTAACGAACTTTTCTGAGGGTTTCAAATTGTTCACTTTGATTTCTTTTCTCCCCCTAAATACTGTAGGTGCCCGGAACCCTCTGCGTGTTCTATATCCTAAATTTGCCTTCTGTTTGTTTGGTTCCTGTTTCTAAAAATTTATAATGTTGTTGATTGAATTTGGATGTTTATTTTCTGGGGTTAAATGACTACATTTTTTACGGCTCTTGTTGAAATGTTAGATCTGCAATAACGATCCCCAATGTGGTGGCAGAATATTTTGGCTTCTATTTTTCAAGTCAAAAAGCAAGCTATTCTGCCACACCCTCATCTGTTGCATTCTGATTTTATAGGATATCTAATCTCTTACATTTTCAATATGACGTGGGATTCTATTTGAGGTACATGTTCAAGCTAACTGTTTAGACGGAAGTCACCTTTCATTTTAAATGCAAAAGATAGATTCAGCTGGAGTTAGCATGTAAAAAACAGGTACCTCAAATCGAAGTCCATCGACTATTTGAACCAAAAGTTCTAGCGATCACAAGTTGTTTCAAGACGTGTCCACACGAGTTCTTTTTCTTCACCTTTTTGCTCCTTTCTCCAGTCCACATCATTTTGATAAGTCTTACATACTTTAATGCGCCAATTGTTTAATACGCGTTCTTTTTTTATTTTGTTTAGACTTTTGCTTTCCCCAGATCAGTAAAAATTTTGTAATTGATATCGATTTATTTTTGGTAGTGAGGTACACGCATAAATACGGGCAACAAGTTAACAATACAATTAGCACCAAATGGCAAATGGAAAGTTTATGGGAAAAAGTGAACTAGAGACATATTTTAAGCACTAGGTTTTTAGATCTTCATTTGCTCTTTGGCCTTTCATCATTGTCGTCTTCGATTTCGGTCGGGTCCTCATCGGTGATGTTTTTGGAGTCTCGTCTAAATTTTTTTATGTTCAAAGGTTTGAGCTGATATGACGGGTAGTTTTCAAAACTAACTTCTTATCGATGGCTCTAACGAATGCGCCGAGTCGCATGCGTTGTCCCTTCTTCTCGTCCTCGATCAGCCGAGCCTGGAAAATGTTTTTGGACAGTTTTAGTGTTTTGTTATTGATACTACAAATCTGTATTAATATCAATGCTCTTGACATTCGTGATACGAAGATAGTAAGATTGAAAAAGCCTCAAGTTAGTCATCTAACTTTTCAAAACATAAATCATTTCAATGATTCATTCCTTTTTCTCACCTCTTCATCGAGCACTTCTGGGCGAATTAGCTGCATCTCGGTCTCGCTCAAACGGAAAGCCGCCAAATGAGATTTCGGTATCACATCCTGGAATTGTACTTGCCATTAAAAGCCTTTAAACTCAGAAATCTGTATTCATCGATTAATTTCCGTTGAATCAAAAACAAAGCTGGTTCAATTAAATTTCGAAAAGCTGAGTTGACTGCTTTGAAAGAAGCCAATTTATTTAAGGGAAATCCCTTTGTTTATTCGACTCACCTGAATCTTGAAGGAGGCTCGAGTGTGTGGGATGATCGGATGCATATCCTTCTGGCCGATGTTCGGCAATTGATCGGCCAACTCGGTGGCCATCATATGCGCAATGCACGTGTTACGGTCTAACACGTAGTTCAACTCTGAAAACATCAATCGATTGTACAAAGGGTTGATGAATTGCGACTTCAACTCTGATTTTTCTTGTTTGTTAAAGAAAATGTTTCAAGGTGAATTCCTTGCAGAAAATAGAGAAACCTCTTTTCTTACATACCTAGAGGTTGCTGAGTTAGTTTAGTTTTAAAAAAAATCAAGTTTGTTTCATGGTTTCAAGTTTCTCAAACTCACCAAAGTCATCGTCATCCTCGCCGAATGGGTTCATCAAATATTGCCCGACTTTCAACCATCCCAGATAAAAAAGCATCTAGATTTTAAGAGGATAAATTTCAGGGCTAGTTTTTTTTCTCATTTACCTGAAAAGTGGTGAAGATTGGGAACAAAATGGTCACTTCTTTCTCCATACTTTTTTGATCCAATTTCGGTTGTCTTCCAAGAAGACAAATGAAGAAATAGCCGTAAGTGGCGATGGCGACCACCTGGGAAATTCATTTTAGAGTAAGAATTGGAATTTCCATTTTCCTAAACGTTTCCATGTCCAGCTTTATTCTGGTTTTTTAAAGGATTTCGACTCTGCAAGATCCGCTGCAAGATCTGCAAGATCCGCTGCAAGACTTTGCAGCGATTTCGAATTGCTATTGCAAACTTTAAAAGTTTTCAATAACAATTCTGCGATCAATGCTTTTAAGATAAACTTATTTTTCTCAAGAATTTTTTATCTTTTAGTCGGAGAAACCTGAGTGTAGACGAGTGGGATTTTCACCCAATCGTAGACGAACAACATTGCGAAACCGTCACGATACGAGTAGAGCTAAACGGGAAACATTTTCGATGTCAGTTTTGGATGCTTCTATTTTCTATTTTACTTCCTAAGCCAAAGCAAGTCCCAAGCTAGACGGCTCTCAGGGCTTATTTTGAGAGTTAGCGTTGCATAGATTGATTCTTGAAAAACGAGAGAACATTCTGACTATCAGATGCTCTACTTGTCTTGTCTGGCTGTCTGTCTGGCTGTCTGTCTGGCTGTCTGGCTGTCAGTCTGGCTGTCTGTCTGGCTGGCTGTCTGGCTGGCTGTCTGTCTGTCTGGGTGTCTGGCTACTTGTCTGGCTGACTGACAACTGTTTGCTTTTTTTTCTTTTTCTTTCGATCTAATACCTGTTTCAAAAGCATATCCATTTGAATGGTGTCGATTCGCTTCTCTTTGTGGCATTTCTTGATGAGATTCAAGATCCAGACGATTGGCACAAACCTGAATAGGTAGATTTTTGATTTACTTGGCTTTGGTTTTTGTTTTAAAGATCTAACTATCAGCTAAACTTTTCGGGAAATACAAACTAAGCAATAGAAACTAAGCAATAGAAAATAAGCAATACAAATTAAGCAATACAACCTCAGCAATACAAACTAAACAATACAAACTAAACAATACAAACTTTACAAACCACATTGTGATAAAATAACTTCCAATGTTCCAGTTTTATTAGAAACTTGGTTTTCGATACACAGAAATTATTATAGAAACGAAAAATCATAGCTAAAAAAGTCAAGTTTCAAATTGGTGAATAAGTAAAGCTTAAACTTATTGGCATTCTATAGGATGACCGCGAATTATAGCGACTGACTTCTGAGAGTCTAGCTCAGCGAGAACTCAACGAATTTGTTTAAAATTTTTGGAGGTGATTTTTGAGTATGTCTCCTGTAGCCAAGCCAATTTTCTAACTGATTTGTGCTTCTAGAATCTTTATATGACTGTGCAAAGTTGAGAGTTTCGATACACCTGGCGAAAAACCCAATTTAAGGGTTTTGAGAGCCATTTCTTCTTAAAATATTACAGATTTCTTGTTTTTTTTTCGATAAATAACATCAAATCAAGAAAAAGCGAGAATGTCTTCTCAAAAAAGAAATATCATCGGATTTTTTCTCTAATTTTTGAGTGATCGTCTAATCAGCTCCCTAATCACATTAAGAAGCCGGAATTTTGATCAAATCTAATCAGAAAATCGAATTTCTATGGGGTTTTTGATCTTTTTGATATCTTTTTTCTTTTTTTTCATCTTAAACATGGTCATATTCATTAAATAACTTCAAAAAACGGCTCTCAAAAACCTTAAATTGGGTTTCTTGCCAGGTGCATCGAAACTCTCAATTTTGCACAGTCATATAAAGATTCTAGAAGCACAAATCAGTTAGAAAATAGGCTTGCCTACAGGAGACATACTCAAAAATCACCTCCAAAAATTTCAAACAAATTCGTTGAGTTCTCGCTGAGCTAGACTCTCAAAAGTGAGTCGCTATAATTCGCGGTCATGCTCTACCTTTATCCCGAAATTAGCATAGCAAAAGCATTAAGGAGATTACGAGAGTTTAGGAGATTTAACGGAAAACTACCGTTGATCTGTAGATGACTTTGAAAACCGATCTCCACTACTCACCATTTCCCGTGCGGAGCCTCGAGATTCATGAACAGATTGTACTCTTGTTCGGTCATCAGATGAGCATCCACATAGTGACGCTCGGTGGGGAAACGCTTTAGTGTTCTCACCGAGATCCCCGACCAAGCGATCGCCGCCTAAAATAGGGTTAAATCTATCAACAAAAATAATCTAAAGTTATTCGAAATTCTTGAAAATCAAAATAAGTGAGATCTCTTATTCCAACTCTTAAAAAGTTGTTGAGAAAGTTGTTGTTCAAGCTGCCCAGAAAGCTGTTCAAGCTGTCCTTTTCGCTACTTCCGTTTAAAACCAACAAATTTACCGATTAAACAATGGTTTGTTTCATCAAAAAAGTCAATTATTTTTCTGTAAAATAACATTACAAAGGGATTTAAAACGACTTCTGTTTGGATTTTTTTGAGAGTATGAAATCGGGTAGTCAAAAAGGGTGACGGTTTGATGATGATGATGATGATGATGCGGTTTAAACAATTTTAGATAAGTAAACCTATCTTCGTGTCAATAGATCTCTATCTTTAAAGCCTTTTCGTTCTTTTTCGGTACTTCCGTTTAGAACCAACAAATCCACCAATTAAACTATGGGTTATTTCATCAGAAAGGCCAATTATTTTTTTGCAAAATAACATTAAAACGGGTTTAAAATGTCTTATATTTGGATCTTTTTTCAGAGCATGAAGCCGTGTAGTCAAAAAGGTCAATACGATGATACGGTTTAGACAATTTTAACTAAGGAAACCTATCTTCGTGTCGTACGCACCCCGCCCCTTTTCTCATTAGCAACCGAACTTTGAGCTCAAATATCTTCGTGCTGGGCTGTCCAGTGTAAATATTTTTGGTATCATTAAATGTGTCAAGTCTTTCTCTGTTGATTGGTACAAAAACTATTTAAATTGAACAGCTCAACACTAAGAAATTTGAGCTCAAAGTTAGATTGTCAATGGAAAGTTGTTGTTCAAGGTGTCCAGAGAGTCTTTTCGTTCCTTTTCGGTACTTCCGTTTAAAACCAACAAATCCACCAATTAAACTATGGGCTATTTCATCAAAAAGACCAATTATTTTTCTGCGAAATAATATTAAAACGGGTTTCAAATGTCTGGATTTGTTTTGAGAGCGTGAAGTCGGGTAGTCAAAAAGTCGCTTGATGATGCGGTTTAAACAACTTTAAAGAAGGAAACCTATCTTCGTGTCAATAGATAAAAGATAAAGCATAAAAAGTTTTGTATACAGCTAAATTTTCAGAGAAATTCATTCACCCAATTTCTTCGTAGAGGTTTTTATAGATTTTTTGCGAAAAACACGTTTTTTCACTCTCAAATTTGCTTGAAATTGACTTAAAAAGATGGAAATTCAACAATAAACACTTTTTATTTAGATCAAACCATAGGTTAATTGGGTGAATTTGTTATTTTTCAAAAGAAAGTACGAAAAGAAACGAAAAGCTTAATAGACAGCTGTTTAGCTATTCATTTTTTATAGGGTGACTCCTTGGTTGTGAATGAATTTGAGCTCGCTTTTCTTCGTTGGTTGGCATTAGCTTTTTCGCAAAGTTAATGCAAATGAATGATTCCGGCCGTTATACTTCATTGAAATCAGAATATTTTTCATATTTTTCAACCTGCAAGCTGCTCCATCGGGCAATCGCCTCCCGGATGTGGAGATTCTCCTTTCCGGGCAGACACGCGGCGACCATCATCATCATTTTGTCCGGCCACGAGATCCAATTGAATTGCTCCCACCTGAAAAGGGAAAAGTGAATTGTTTCAAATTCAAAATTCCTCAACAAGTTCGATTCTTTCAATTCTGATAATTAATTCTCTTACAACGCAACAACTTTCTGGTGTTGAGCTGTTCAATTTCAATAGTTTTTATACCAATCGACAGAGAAAGACTTGGCGCATCCAATGATACCAAGAGCATTTAAATTGGACAGCCCAACACCAAGATATTTGAGCTCAAAGTTAGAGTGCCAATGGCGAACGGGGCAGAGCGACAGACCTTTTATACGCTCCCGCCCCTTTTGCCATTGACAATCCAACTTTAAGCTCAAATATCTTGGTGCTCGGCTGTCCAATTTCAATAGTTTTTATACCAATCGACTGAGAAAGACTTGGCGCATCCAATGATACCAAGAGCATTTAAATTGGACAGCCCAACACCAAGATATTTGAGCTCAAAGTTAGAGTACCAATGGCAAACGCGTAACGAATGTCCAATAATCTTCAATAATTAAACTGAAAAGAAGCAGAGAAAAGCATTGAACACTGAAACTTTTGAAGCTCTCACCATCTGGCGACGATCACCGACACGAAGAAACCGAGCAAGAACGAGAGGGGAATGTAGGAGGAGCCGACCTCACACCAATTGATCCATCCAGTGAAATATTCTTTGCCCTTCTCGTCCAATAACCACCACTGAAATTTTCGAAAAACTTTTAAACGATTCCTGGTGAACGAAAAATGAACTTTAAACTGTAATACTGACTAAAAATGGACCAGTTTTAGAAAGCTACCGTAATCCAACCGCCAGTTTCCACTCGATCAACCAAATTTTGATTTCATTGACTGAGCGTTGTCGAATGATACAAAAATTGGGTTAATTGAATGAAAATTGGAGGGTGGATTCAAAGTTTTTTACTAAAGTTTTACTACTAATCTTTCTAGTTTTTCTAGAATAGAATCCTTTTAGAAAAAGGGATTTATCAAGAAAAGTAATTCATTGAAAAATTAATACAGGTCGCGTCCGTTTCCTTCCTATTTGCGTTGCTATTTTGCGCATTATTCGTCGCACCTTTTTTCCCTTCCTGAAATTGTTTTTTTTTGCTCTGCGGGTTGCTTTTGCTTTCTTTCTGGGGGGACTTGGTTGTTTCTTTTGATGCGCATGCTGTTTTTGTAATGGGTATTGTTGCATTTTGATTTTGTACTAATAAACAGTAAAATTATAAATTCAACTTACTTTCTGCTACCCTTCAGGTTTTAAATCCTGTTTAGGTACCTGGTTTAACATTGTAGAGAGAGAGCTTACTAACATTTGTGTCGCCACCGACGAGTATTAATCTTGTGTTGGATGCTGCGCGTTCTTGTTATGTTGTAAGCGCTTTGGGGAAACCCATTTAACCTTCTTTGTGCAATTCGGCTATTCTGAAGCAAAATCATCCTCGATGATAAGGTTAAAAGCGGGTCGCACCCAAACTTACAGTTTTTTTAATAAAACCCAAGCTATTCTGCGACAGAATGCTTTAGATCTGAAGTACAGCAGTGAATCTAGAGAATAAGTATTTTAAGGTTGAAGAGAGATCAATCTAGAGAGAGAGAGAGAGAACTAAACGTTCTTATTTTCTTCAATAGTTTAACAACTTCAGAAATGGAATTTCATTTTCACCTGAAAGGTGAGAATAATGTAGTAGGCGATGTAGAAAGCGATCATGTCTTTGAGTACAGCCTGGAATTGGGAATTGAGATAATAATGCTTTCAAAGTACCGTAAATTCTCTAATAGAACGCCACCTCGTACAATCGCGTAGTCTAACTTCTTTTTAGAAAATCATTTTTTTCTCAGCTCCTTGAGTTTCCTAGCTACACTTTTAATACCTAAAACTACTAGATTTCAAGGGCTATCATTTGACACTCAAGCGCACACTGTAGCATAAAGCAGCCAGGAGAATCGGACGTTTAAAGTTAGACTACGCGATTGTACGCCCGTCATTATGGCGTTCTATTGGAGTATTTACGGTAAATGCCGTCTTTTTTTTCAAAACGAACTTTCCACAGTGATCCCCTCCATCGAAGCATCAATCCGGAGAACTCCTCATCATAGGAAATCGTCATTTTTCCGTTTTCCTTTTTTTTTTTTTGAGGATCCCTTGGTTATTACCTAAATAGTGCAAAATTGAAATTAAGAATATGATTTCTGATTTTTAGATATAACTAAGCTTATCAAGAATTGGTTTTTCACTTTGAAATATTGATCAGAAAACCAGAAAGCCAGAAAATCAGAAAACCAGAAAGCCAGAAAATCAGAAAACCAGAAAGCCAGAAAATCAGAAAATCAGAAAATAAATTTGTTTAAATTGAAAGTTTTAACAGATGAAACAAAAAGAAACATGAAATTCAGCTTCTTCAAAAATTTCTTGTACTGCTAACTTTGAAGCTTTATTGCGATTGGAATTGCTTGCACTGGATTGAAGCTTTAAATCCAAAGCATTGATGATCAATTTTGAAACATTAACTTTTAAAAGAGTCCCACGGAAGTAAAAGACATGCAAAAATAAACTAAAAACAAAATGTAATAGAATTTTTCTTTGGTAAAAAGGAGAACTTCAACAATTTTCAGCAATTTTTCACGAAATCGAACGATCAATCACACAACGAGAATTCCCCGATTCCCGAGTTTCCCATTCATTTTTTTACTTTTTCGACATTACTTTTCTGGGGATGACCCCGAAAAAAGAAAAGGAGCAATTTTTGTGATCCACCGAGATTTTTCTTCTTTTTGCGGTGATTTGGAGAAAACTTTTGCGCGAAGGCAAGCTGAGACTTTCTTTTGCGAAAAAAGTGCTGAGACTTCCTTTTGCGTGAAGGCAAGCTGAGACTTCCCGGTCAAAAGCGCACCTTTTTTCGCTGGACTTTTCCAGTCCGCCTTTTTGAAAAAATTACTTGAAAAAATGGGATTTATTTGTGGATTTTAAAAATTTCAATCTGCATCGAAATTGGCAAGGAACATTACAAATGAATTAGCTTTTTTAAATGAATTTGATTTCGAAAAGGTTAATTCACTAGAGAATAAGAAATAACTTGAAAAAATTAACTGAACAAGGTGCAAAAGGGGAACCCTAAGTAATTTAATTTGACGAGATTGGGCTTGAATATATATCTAATAGCTGCGCTTTGTTTAATAAAGAAAGAAATAACTGGGGGTGGGACAAATGCGACCTTTTTTGTGCACCTGGCCAAAAGCGCACCTTTTTTGCTGGAAAGGGCCTTAGGAAAGTCGTAGAGCTCCAAAAATGTTTTCATGCAAGGGAATCGTATGCGTAGATTCAGAATTTCGACAAATCAGACCTCACTGGCACGTCAAATTTGGGCTAAAAGGCAAAAACTACACAACTTAACGCTTTTCCGCAGTTTTTGCCTTTTAGCCCAAATTTGACGTGCCAGTGAGGTCTGATTTGTCGAAATTCGGAATCTACGCATACGATTCCCTTATCTGGAAACATTTTTGATGCTCTACGGCGTTTCCTAAGACCTTTTCCAGCGAAAAAGGGTGCGCAAAAAAAAAGATAGCATTTGTCCCACCCCCAAATAACTTATTAATTTAAAAACAGAATGAACCCAAAGCCTCAACAAGTCCTCAAGTTTATTTAGGAATTCATATTGGTGAACCTGGGACTTTGGTTTGCTGGGAAGGATCTTGAAAATAAGGATTTAAAATTGGGAAAGTTTAAAAAAGCTAGAATATTATACTATTTTAATTTTTTAAAACTACTGTTTCTCTAAAATAAACACGGTATGGTAAAAAATTAAAACTGACGAGCCTACTCTAAGGCTGAACAGCTTGAAACTCAAGACTTGTTTCGAGTATTGGGATCTTTTAAAAGTTTAATCGAAACAAAAACAGAAAGCGTAGAAAATAGGTGTCTGAAAAAAACAAAAAGAAAAAGAAATATGAAAAACATTCTACGATTAATAGAAACAGCGAGCTCTCCTGAAAAAAGTCTACTTTGCGTCAAATTTTTTGCGCAACTCGCCATAACTTTCTTCTAAGTGGACCGATCTTTATGATTTTGGTTTCATTTTGTAGATCTCAATAAGTGCAGCAAAATGACATCAAAATCATAAAGATTGGGCCACTTAGAAGAAAGTTACGGCGTATTTTGGCGTACAGTATTTTGTGCAAAAAAATACTGATTTTGGAGACTCCGTGCAAGCCACTAGGCTCAGGCTCAGGCTTAGGCTTAGGCTCAGGCTTAGGCTCAGGATCTCAACAAGTGCAACAAAATGATACCAAAATCATAAAGATTCGTTCACTTAGAAGAAAGTTATGGGGAGTTGTGCAAAAAAAATACTGATTTTCGAGACTCCGTGCAAGGACCATCGCGACACTGCGACGTTTTCTAGACTACGGTACTTTTAGTGCTCTTTAAAAGTGCCAACTTTGATTTTAAAAGAGATGCGGCTAGTTTTAGCGATTGTTGAGCTTTTTAGCTTTATGTAGGAAAATATGCGACGTAAAAAGGTAATAGCCAAGTAGTTTAGAGTTGAGAATCAGTTGTTTAGGCATTTCTCCTAGAAAATTGCATTAAATATAGAAAATCGTTGTTTAAACGTCGGAATCTATGCGAGTAAATGTTCGCCCAACTCGAACTTTTCGAGGTTACTGAGATTCGAGAAAAAGAAAAAAAGAGGCCGATCGCCGCTAATTACCACCCACACTTGCTCGCAAATTTTTCTCTTCAACGAATCGAAAACGTTGAAACTTTGAAATCCTTCTTTTTCTTGTATATTCTCATTGAATCTTTTTTCATTTTACTATTCTCTAAACCTATCTAACATCGTGTTCAGATATTTCTTGAAACAACCTTGAAATTGTTTTTTTTTAAAGTACTATCCATGTTTTTTAAATAAAAAAATTAAAAAATAAAAATTTCCTTCAGGAAATTGAAGTTTTTGCCTTTTTTTGAATATGGAAAACAAGAAAAAGTAAAATAATAATGATTTTTGCAAATCTTTAAAAAACGAGTTTCAAATTGGAGTGATTAATGAAGGAATTTTGAAATTTAATGGAAATGCTATAACTTTTTGGGGTTCATTGTATTCTTTGCAGTTAGATCATGTTCAGATATTTGGTTTATTCAAGTGGAAGAGTAGTAAAAACATTGTTTTGGTTATTGTTATTATGATTAATGAATACGAGCAAAGTTGAAACACGATCTTTGAATGGATCTCGAGATCTATAAGTAGCTCGAGATCTTTGAATGGATTTATATCAGTAGCTCGAGATCTTTGAATGGATTTCTATAAGTAGCTCGAGATCTTTGAATGGATTTATATAAGCAGCCCGAGATCGTTAAATGGATTTATATCAGTAGCTCGAGATCTTTGAATGGATTTATATCAGTAGCTCGAGATCTTTGAATGGATTTATTTAAGTAGCTCGGCTTTGATGGATTTTTAAGTAGCTCGAGATCTTTGAATGGATTTATATCAGTAGCTCGAGATCTTTGGATGGATTTATATAAGCAGCTCAAGATCTTTGAATGGATTTATATAAGTAGCTCTTCGAAATGATTGAGAGTAAAGGGAAAAATCAATTTTAAGTGAAATCATTTAAAAACTTATGGAATTGTCCGAAAAACTTAAAACGATTTTTTTAAAAAAAGGATCCAAGCGTTTATTAACGCATCATTTGTCAGTAAAAGCTTGTTAAAGTTGAAATATAAGAAATACCGTAAATGTTGAATGAAATGTCTGGATAGCCTAATATTACCGTTGATCAAAATTCTTAAAAAAAACTCAACTCACTTATAAAAATAAGCTCAAACTCAAAGAAATGACCCGAAAGACTTCAAAAACCTCGTAAACTCTCAAAAGTGTCGTAATCTTTACAAGAACCGAATTATGCAAATGTAGGCATAGTAGGAACAAACATCGCGACCTGATAGAAACAAAAATCGCGACCTGACAGCCCCTAATCAACTTTGAAGCCATATACCGTAAATGCTGAATTAGAATGACATGTCATTCTATTTTTCAATACCCCCGTAAGGTTTCATTCTATTAGGAGGTGTCGTTTTATTTTTCACTCGAATGGTCACTACGGATCACAAAAATTATCACTGCTCTGCTCAGGTTTCAAGGAATTCAACTATTGGCTTTCAAAATTTTGAAACTATTGAAAATCTTCTAATATGAAGCTCTCGAAATAATTCTATTTCTTAATAAACAGCCAAAACGAGTAAATACAAAGCGAGAAATTCTTTAAAATATGTGCAAATCGGGTTCGGATCGGCTCAAGCAGCGCTTCTGCCGAGAGGTTGGTACCTCTGAACTTCGACGTACTATAAAAAGCCTAGGTAATAGCAAGTCCACCACAAGGGTAGCCTTACAAGGGCAACGGCAGGGGAATTTGCAATGGTCAAATTTGCATGACATGACTTATTCTTTGATATTTGCCGTTTAAAAGCCTGTCGGCCTTTTAGTGGGGGACTATTCTGCAGATGCATTCTTGCCCGCCCCCCAACAAAAAAAAGGTGGGGATAGTGCAATACTCTCAAAAAAACTATTTTATGTAAGTGAGATGTCGTTCTATTAGACGGTGTCATTCAATAAAGCATTTACGGTAATGAAGAGAACTTCTTGAACAAGATAACCAGAATAGACATGATGTTTCAACATGATGACTAGAATAGACAACCAGAAAATTGGGTTCAAGAGCTTGCAAACCAGGCCAGATTCGGCTAGGACAGACTAAGCTATGTCAAGATCAGATCCGGAGATCTGGTTCAATCAATCCAATCCTAAGGATCGATTCGGATTGATTTCTGGCTTTTCTGCTGATCCAGCTCAAAATATACCAATCAAAAGCCAGATGAGGACTGATTTTTTAACCAGAACAATTCTAAATTGACAAATTCAAACATCAGAACAACATTAAAGTGGAGAAAAGTTCAATTTTCAATAAATATTTAAAAAGAAATCAAGTACTAGAAGAATGGGGATAAAACTATTGAAAAAGGAGTAATTTTCCCAAGGAATGGTTGTCAGTCTCGGGCTGTGTCCGTGAACTGTTAGGATTGAAGAAGAAAGGAGAAAGAAGAAAGAAGAAAGAAGAAAGAAGAAAGAAGAAAGAAGGAGATAGTTGTTGTCAGGAGAAATTGGGGAAGAAAAGCGAAGATACGACCTTGTCTCATCCCGACAACCCATCCCCAATTTCCCCCGTTTCCCCTTTACCCATTCGTTCTTTTTTTTCTTCACCCTTGTCCCCAATGATAATTTGATAGCATCCTCTCACCTTGAATCACTTTTTATCACAGTTGCTAACTGTGGCTCTGGTTTCTTTGTAAGAATTGCTAGGGAAGGGCCTTAAAAAGTTGATCTAAGCATCCTTTTATCTAGCTATACAGAAATCTTTCAAACAAACGTTTTCAGAGTGATGATCAGCCCAAAATAGATTTGTTAAAGTTGTCAAACAAACAAGAAAATGCATGTGAATCGAAATTTATTGCTAATCAATCAATTGTAAAATATAAAGCAAAGAAAAGGCGCAATTTGTGCTCAAAATTGGCAAATTGGCAAACAAATCCTTTCTAGTGTAGTTAATTCTTCATTTTCTTTTTGTATCATAATGAAAAATAGAATAGAGTACACCAGAAAGGATATGTTTACAAGATTCGAGCAAAAAAAGTCAGAGTTTTGATACAAAGAAAAAAATTTTTTGATTCAAAGAACAAAATTTTGATTTTGATTCAAATTCAACTTTAAATATTCGATCAATTTTCTTTTTCTCCATCACAATTTCTATTTGCATACATGTATTCGTTGTGTTTCTTTTTCAACCCATCCACTTCCAAAGTAGATTTGTTTACCATCCACATAACATCGATACACTGAAATGCCCTCATCGCCACATCTAGAAAAAAAAAAAAGAGAAATGATTTTGACTTTACTGTACGAAAACTGGTTTCAAAGTTTTTTGACTCGACAAAACAATCAGAAAATTCGCTCTTCTTTGAAGATTTGAAAGATTTCTTCTGTATTTTCATGTAAATTTGATAAATTTGATGCCTCATTTTACTTCAACATTGATAAAGATTCAGCTTAAATTTTGTGCTCAATCTTTTCTGCATTCGAGGTCGATTAGAGTAAAATACAAAATTCAGGGGTTTAAAAAATTATTAGCTTAACGAAATCAAACTGAGCGTTTTCTCTGGACACCTCACTTTATAGAATCGGCTATCAGGAATCCGAATCTGAAATCAAAATCTGAAATCAAAATCTGAAATCTACCAGGTGTGTAAAACTTCAAAAGTTTGACGTCAAAACGAATGCTTTCAAACGAATGCTTTAAAACCCTTCTTTCTAGTAGATACATTGGTGGCTTAGTGGATAACGCATTAGGCTTTCCTCCACAGGATCAGAATTCGACCCCTGATGCGGCTTAAATGCTATTAGAAAAGCAAATTTGAGTATTTTTATCTTGCATAGTGTCTAAAAGAGATTGTTTCAATGTAGACAACTCGGTAAAGCACAGTTTTTCTCTGATTTCTTTTACTTTCTACAGGGTGCGGCATAAGTATGGTTACAAGGTTGTAACATTGATTTAAGAAACTGATTGATTTTTATTTCTTGCCATTTTATTTTTGGGCAATTTTGGAGCAAAAAGCATGCACAACAAAACATGGAAACGTTGAAAGTCTGAAAAAGGCTCTGAAGAAAGCCTGTGCAGAAATTCCACAAAGTACCCTGCGGGCCGCCGTGGAAAGTTATCCAAAGCGTCTTAAAGCCGTTATCAAGAATAAAGGTGCCCATATTGAATAATTTGTTATTTTTTAAATGAATATGATTACTGTTGTTAATTTTAAATAAAGTTTACATGAATCCGTTCATATTTCATTACGATACACGGTAAGGCTGTAACCATGCTTATGAGCTCTGAGTCTGTAACCATGCTTATGAGCTCTGAGTCTGTAACCATGCTTATGAGCTCTGAGTCTGTAACCATGCTTATGAGCTCTGAGTCTGTAACCATGCTTATGAGCTCTGAGTCTGTAACCATACTTATGCCGCACCCTGTACTGTTTCTACTTTTTCTAATGTAACCAGCCTTAAATCGACGTCGCCTTGTCGCCAGATTGCGTACTTTTTCACGTGAAATTGTTTATCTTCTGGGTCATCGGCTTCGGTCCCATTGAAACAGCCTGAATTCAATTTCCATTTTCCTGAATTCATTTAAGACACAAGTTTTGAATAACGCTAAACTTTTGGATTTTTATTGCATTACGGATTCAAGGTTTTACTTTAAAAAAACTTGAAACTTGAGATTTGGAACAGATTTAAATTCAATTGAAACTAATTGATTTTATTGAAACAGTTTGAATTAAGTAATTAAGCTTTTAATTAAACTAACCAGCAAGCTTTGGCGTTTAAAAAAGTTATCTACTACTGTCTACTGTCTTTGCTAACTAAAGGCTGTATGCTATTTGTTTTTTTCTGTGTTTCAACGAAACTAATGAAAGATTAAAGACTTTAAAACATTTCGAATTCATTTTCAGCATCATTTCTTGCCTTTTAAGAAGGTTTAAAAGGTTCTTGCCATTTAAAAGGTTTGAAGTTTTGTTAAAGCATTAATTAAAGGAAAACCAACCTTTATTTTCGATTCGCCCGCGGATCCCGTTCTGATGAATGTTACAGTATTTGAGGATACCCTTTCCCAGCGTGAAATGCCCACCTTTAAGCGTGTTTCCCCGATCGTCCACACAGCCCTGGAAATTTTTTCAAACGTTTACTGACAATTGTTGAGATGAACAATGAAATGAACAATGTTTCAAAATGAGCAAAATGTTCAATTTGATTTTGATTTCTTTAAATAAACTCATTTTAGTCGATTGCCAGTTATGCTTACAATGTTTGTACTGATAGGTAAAGTAAAGTTTCAAATTAAGCCGCTTATACCAATACACACAGAAAATAACCGAAAATAACCAAAAATCTTCTTTCAAAAGTCGAAAATCACCGAAAATCGAAAAGTCCAATGGCTCAAAGGTTAGGATTTAAATCCCTATTTTGTCTGGGCTCGTTTTGTGGCCATGACCGACTGGCTAAGCGCCTTCTATCTCAGTCGGGAGGTCAAGGGTTCAATCTCGCCGGCTAGATTATTGGTTCTTTGTTTCTATAGATTATTTTTCTAGATTATTGGTTTGGGTTTTTTCCTACTTTTTGGGCTTGCTTGTGGATTGTTTGTACCACGTTATTCATGTGAATAAATCCATTTTCCATTTCCCCAACCTTCAACTTTTTCCCAATGCAACAAACAAGGAAATTCTCGACGATCAGATCGTTCTCGTCCTTGCACTCGACTCCCTCCATCGGGTTTTCGCCGCTCCCACCTAGAAATTGTTAATCAAAATTTGAATTACAAAAAGTTTGTTTCAAATTAGAGCGCCTATATAGGCCGGAAAATGAATTAATCAATAGGTCGAATGATTTTAAAATTCATCAAAATTTTGATTGGGTTCTCCGTCCGACCGTCCATCCGTCCGACAGCAATCGATCAACCGGAATTGGCTTCTTTTAGTAATTGGATTGTTCTTTCTTTGGATTGTTTTAAAGTTAAATAGTCATTTTTCAAAGTAGGCCAATAAGGATCTAATGAACATGACTTTCATCAATTTTTAAAGCCCATCAACATTTTGGATTGGGTTTTCTTCCGCATACACTGGAAATTTGACCCTGACTGATTGGTCAGATTCGAGAATTTACTTAACACTTATTGCAAAAAGCTTGTTTCAAATACAGTAGTTCAAGTAAAGTACAGTTCAAAAATAAGTACACTAAATTTAGATAAGCACAATTAAATGCACTTTAAAGTACGATAACAATGCAAATAAACGAAGCTCCAATTGTTAATTTGCATGTGAGATTAATTTGCACCGTAACTTTTCCTGTCTAACTTCATGGCTAAACCATTTGATGTTTGGTATGTTTCATTGCTTTGGATTTAGATCTAGCAAAGACTTGGGCTTGAGCAATGAATCGAAGAGTGTTTGGGAGAACAAAATGACTCCCGACATCTCCACAAATTGAATGGAACAACTGCAAAATATGGAACCTACAAAAAGAAAAGCGCATCTATTAGAAATCAATTGCTACTCGTTTGTTTTGTCTGTTCTGTCGAATCAATGTTTATGCATTTGATATTTGGCAGTCTTTTTCTTTGTGATTTTTGAGTGGTTAAGATAATGAGCGTTTCTTGTCAGTCTGGCGACTTTGAAACTTGATTACCTAATCTTAAAGCGATATTCAGGTAGTAGGCACTATTCGTTTTTCTCATGCTAACGTTTATAAGACTTTGAAATTGAGGAGTTATAGCTGACTTTAAAAATTGCATCGCATATCATTGCGAATGTGTAAAATCACGATAAACCTTTAAGCTCTAGTTCTCAAAATCAAAGTTCTTTCCATTTTTAAGGGCAACTCTTGTTACTCATCACTTTCTTTTCACCAACTTTCTTCAATTTCCCCTTCCGGCTCGTCCAAACACGAATACGTGACCCCATCCTCGATGAATTCCTCTGTTCCCACGTCGATCACTGTTCCCCCGTCAGTTATACATTTGAGCACCTGTAATTTGCTATAAATCAATGAATCCTAGAAAAAATTTGCTATTCATAAAAAATCTGAAAATTTGGATACAATTGAAAACTGCGGGCTATTGTCATATGTGACAGTTTGAGCACTTTCTTCAAAAGAAACCCATTTTGGTGTCAATGGAAAAGTTGTAGAGAATTAAAAATTAGGCTTATAGCCAAATTTCCAAAACGATACACTTAGTAGTTTCGCTTAAAGTGCAAGTTTTGTGAAAATTCGTAAATTTCGCATTTCTTGAAAACCAGTTTTTGAATCGTTCTGAAAATTTGGATATAAGGTTAATTTTGGATTCTCTACAACTTTTCCATTGACACCAAAATGGGTTTCTTTTGAAGAAAGTGCTCAAACTGTCACATATGACAATAGCCGGCAGTTTTCAATTCACCAACCCAATAGATTGACTTTGGCTCTTTCACAGTAGCTTAGTTAAAGAAAAAAAGGCCGTATAATTGACAAGTTGTAAAAGTTTGCTGACATATTTTAAATAGCGCTCACAAAATCTGTTTAACCTCACAAAATCTGTTTAACTAAGGAAACCTTTTGTTTAAAATGAAACAATCAACGAGAGTAGCCTAGTTTCAACTCAAACCATTTTCTTCTTTGCATTGCATTAGTAATGAATGTGTAATGAATGAAACAAATGTATTTCATCAAAAACTTTGTGTCGAAATATTTCAAAAGGTTTCTCACAGATTAAGATCAAAATTTCTATATTTTATGCTGAAAAAAGTAAACCGTTTCTTCAATTTTTTTTTGATTCAATTGCTTCAAACCTTTCTTTGTAAACTAGCCGCTAGTATCATAGTTGGAAAACTGTTTGAATACACACAAAAACTGTAGAACCAAAGAAACGCAAAGAGTGAACAGACGAAAGCACAAAAATTTTACCTTAATCTGTCCTTCTTTGCAAACGACGAGAAAATTCCCGTTGTGAATCCATCGATCACCGTCATCGTGTTGGATTTCACCAACCAGACAACCGGTTAATAAAGCCGTTTTTATAAAAGGGAATATGCAGATGAATAGAAGAAGAAAAGAGACGAACATTCGAGAGTTTTATCAATTCTATAACGAGCAAAAATCATTTTAATGAGTGATTCAAAATTTCCACTGCTTTTTTTTACTAAAACTTACCGTAAATACTGTAATAGTACCCCACCGCCCTCGTACAGTCGCGTAGTCGCAAAAGTTTTTTAGTATTTCATTTTTTTCAAAGCCCCCGTACTTTCAAAAAATGTGTCTTTGGTATCAAAAAATAGCTGAAATTCAGGGTTATTTTTTGATACCCAAGCGCGCATTGTAGCATAAGCCAGTGTCGAGAAAAACTCGTTCAAAGCTAGACTACGCAACACTTCGCACCGTCATTATGGGGGGTGGGGCACTATTACAGTATTTACGGTAATTCAAACTGTTTCAATAAAATCAATTAGTTTCAATTGAATTTAAATCTGTTTCAAATCTCAAGTTTCAAGTTTTTTAAAGTAAAACCTTGAATCTGTAGTGCAATAAAATCCCAAAAGTTTAGCGTTATTCAAAACTTGTGTCTTAAATGAATTCAGGAAATTGGAAATTGAATTCAGGCTGTTTCAATGGGACCGAAGCCGATGACCCAGAAGACAAACAATTTCACGTGAAAAAGTACGCAATCTGGCGACAAGGCGACGTCGATTTAAGGCTGGTTACATTAGAAAAAGTAGAAACAGTAGAAATTAAGAGAAATCAAAGAAAAACTTTGCTTTACCGAGTTGTCTACGTTGAAACAATCTCTTTTAGTCACTATGATTCAAAAATTGTGTCTTAAAGGAATTCAGGAAATTGGAAATTGAATTCACGCTGTTTCAATGGGACCGTATGGAAACATATCACTTTAAATCCCATATGGAAACACAGAGAAAATGAATGCATTAATGCTTTCTTTTTTGCTTTCGTTTTGAACAAAATTTGAAATTGAAATTGAAATTTGAAATTTTTGAGGAAATGGATTGAGGACATTTAAAGTGATCAGTTGCACTTTTGGCCAATGAAAGACGATACTTTCCACCGTTTGTGCTCCAGGTGACCAATGGGAAATGAAAAGAAAAAGAAAAAGAAAAAGAAAAGCGCTGTAAAAGTTCGCAATAATTAACACATTTTGAAATAAACTTAACAAAAGTCTATTTGTTTTTTAAAAAAAAAACAGCTAAAGAAACGACGAGAATTTGCTAGTTTCAAATTAAATTAATTCAATTTTTGCCTAGCCTTGGTAGTAATTGTCTTTTTTTTTGTTGTTAAGCCAAAAAAAAAGAACTTTTGTCAACTTTTGCTTAAAAATGGGAAAACAAATCCTTTCTGCACTTATTTCTTCATTTTTTTTTTGCAGCAATATCACACAATAAAATAGCAGAATTTGAGAGCACCAGAAAGAGTTTGTTTACCGATTTTTAAGCATAAAAAAGCTTGTTTCAAATTAAACGATCTTTTTGCATTAGCTTGGTATTAGCTTTGGATTAGCTTTGGATTAGCTTTGGATTAGCTTTGGTACTTGGCTTGACCTTTGTATTAGCTTTGTATCCTTGCACTTTGTATTACCTTTGTGTTACCTGGATTAGCTTTGGATTAGCTTTGGATTAGCTTGTGTTAGCTTTGGTACCTTTGAACTACCTTTGCATTACCTTTGCATTAGTTGATTAGCTTTGTATTAGCTTTGTGTTACCTTTGACACCTTTATTACCTTGATACCTGCATAGCTTTGTATTACCTTTGTGTTACCTTTGGACTACCTTTGCATTAGCTTTGTATTACCTTTGTGTTACCTTTGGATTAGCTTTGGATTAGCTTTGGATTAGCTTTGTGTTAGCTTTGTGTTACCTTTGAACTACCTTTGCATTAGCTTTGTATTAGCTTTGTATTAGCTTTGTGTTACCTTTGGACTACCTTTGCATTACCTTTGCATTACCTTTGCATTAGCTTTGTATTACCTTTGCATTAGCTTTGTATTACCTTTGTGTTACCTTTGGACTACCTTTGCATTGCCTTTGTATTAGCTTTGTATTAGCTTTGTGTTACCTTTGAACTACCTTTGCATTACCTTTGCATTACCTTTGCATTAGCTTTGTATTAGCTTTGTATTAGCTTTGTATTAGCTTTGTGTTACCTTTGGACTACCTTTGTATTACCTTTGTATTACCTTTGCATTAAACAAACAATTGAGCTTTCATTTTGTAACGACTTTTAAAATAGAGCTGAATGAAAAGGGAAATAAAAATAGTGTATGAGCGTTGCAGAATGAAAGTGAAATCATTAAATTCTTTTGTAAATCACTTAAACAAGTGAAATTCGGTACTGTTTTACTGGCCACTTAACATTTTGATTGAAAGATCAGCATTTAACTGCAAGATTAGCATAAAAGCTAAATTTCTAAGTCAAGCTAAGAGAAAAGCAAAATTTTAAGCCAAATAATTCCATGGAATTCCTTTCAATGCCATTTGAAAGGCATTGACTTTAGCTTCGCTTGGCTAGATTTGATTTTTGGCTTTTTCTTTTGCCAACCTGTTTAACTAGTGAAATATTTGGGATAAAGATACGATTGTAATGACTGTAATGACTGTAATGGCTGTAATGGCTGTAATGGCTGTAATGACTGTAATGATCTTTAATGACTGTAATGATCTTTAATGGCTGTAATGATCTTTAATGACTGTAATGACTGTTTAAAGAACTGTAATAATCTAAGCAACATTCCAAAGCTTTTCATAGTTTAAAGAATGCAATACTGTAATGTTATAGCAGCTGGCTGGCTTCTCTAACATAGTTTATAGTTTTTGTGTTTCAAAATTTGGGTTATTGTTTCAAAAACAGTAATGTTAATTGCATAAGCTTTTTTATAACAATTTATTTCTTTCATTTACAAAAGATGAGATCGTGAAATTGAAAAATCTACTTGAAAAGTTTGAAATATCAGCAAAAGATTTCTAGAGAATCGTGTCACAAGTGAATAGGAGAATTTTGAGCAGACGAAGCTTATTTTCATTGATTTGAGTTATATATGTCGTAGTCGCTTACGAAATTCAGCCGCTAACGAATGAGGGTATTTCCGGGCATCCAATCAAAAAGTCACCCACATAAAAAATGTTCATAATACATATATTTTATAATAAATTTTTGAAATTAGCTCATTTGGTTCAGTAGAAAATTTTTTTTGAGCCCCCAAAGTTTAGGTTCAAAAATGCCCTAAAATGGCTATAAACAATTTTCTACTCAGCCAAAAAACTTGCCTAATAGCTCATTTTGTAGCCAATTTGATGTAGTTTCTTAAAGTAAAGCTACATTGAACATTTGTTTTTCAAAGCTAGGAAAAAGAGGGCGAGGAACGACTTCAGTTGAACTCGGTCGCTGTTTTCACTTTTGAGAATTGCCCTGAATTTGTTCCTCGCCCTCTTTCTCCTACTTTCAACGAAAAATTGTTTTAGATGGCTTTACTTTAAGAAACTACATCAAATTGGCTACAAAATGAGCTATTAGGCAAGTTTTTTGGCTGAGTAGAAAATTTTTTATAGCCATTTTAGGGCATTTTTGAACCTAAACTTTGGGGGCTCAAAAAAAATTTTCGACTGAACCAAATGAGCTAATTTCAAAAATTTATTATAAAATATATGTATTATGAACATTTTTTATGTGGGCGACTTTTTGATTGGATGCCCGGAAATACCCTCATTCGTTAGCGGCTGAATTTCGTAAGCGGCTACGACATATACAAAAAGAAAATGAAAAAGAGATTACAAAAAAAGATCTGAATATTTGTTATAAGTCAAAAAAAAAGGATAAAATTAAAAAAATAGGAAAATTTGAAGTTTGGAGTAACGAAAAAAAATGGCGGGTTTAAGTGAAAAATTCAAGTTTCAAAGTTTTTCAGATGGGAAAAGATTTCGCCAAACGAGTTCCATTGTTTTCTTTGTTTTTTTTGAAACTTGACAAAAAGTTCAACGGTATTACATTATTAAAAAGTTTTTTAGGGACTTTCCCGCGATATCTCGGCTTCAATTCTATCAATTCTATCAAATCGATCAATTGTTTTCATTTTAAAAACGAAACCCGGGAGTCGGACAAATGCGACCTTTTTTTTGCGCACCCGGACATTTGCGCACCTTTTTCGCACCCACACACATTAGCGCACCTTTTTTCGCGTCTTTTTAGAGCAAAAAAGCTCTAAAAAGCTAATATTAACCAATTTCTATTCCAAATGTTGTTTTTCTAGGTAATTTTAGGGCGTAGAATCGAAATTTTGACATATCAGAGCTTGTGGAAGCGAACGGACGGAGTTTTACAAAGAGAAAAATCGATAATTTTCTGTAATTTGATCTAACCGAATTTAAAGACAAAACGTCTTTCAAATTGGTTCCACAAGCTCTGATATGTCAAAATTTCGATTCTACGCCCTAAAATTACCTAGAAACCTAGAAAAACAACTTTTGTAATAGAAATTGGTTAATATTAGCTTTTTAGACCTTTTTAAAACGCGAAAAAAGGTGCGCAAATGTCCGGGTGCGCAAAAAAAGGTTGCATTTGTCCCACTCCCCTTTTATCTTATTATCTTTTATCATTTTAAATGAAAAGCTATTCAGTGGACAGAACTGAAGCTAAAGTAGCGCTTAAAATGTTTCAGCAGCTATCACTTCGAGTAAAAACGTTGATAAGATAAAATTAAGTTTCAACTACGAACAACAGAATTTATCAAACTTGAAACTCGATTGGATTTTCCGAGTTAACCGGGGATAACCGGGAAAGTACCGTCTTTTCTATTATTATAGAATGAAAAGCTATTCAGTGGACAGAAATGAAGCCACAGTAGCGCTTAAAATGATTCATAGGACATCATTCTTTATTTTTTAGCACAAAGTCAATCACTAAACAAAGTGAAATTGAAGATGGAATGATTAAATGCTAAAAATAGATTTATAAATCATTTTGAGCCCTGTACCTTTAGCTTTAGTCTTATCGAATCTGAAGATTCGAAAGAACAAGGAAAGATCCGGGCTGAGTTAGCGAAATACTATACAACTTATACCATTCGACGCAGAATTTTATGCTAATTCTGAATATATATTCCGTTTTTGTTAAATGACAATCTGCCAGAAGTTATAAGCGTCTAGGAGAACACTAGTCAGCACTTCTTGAAAAAAAAGCGAAAGAAAGGAATTAATCTTTATGGGCGTTTTGTGTAATTATTTCATTTGAAACAGAACTTTCTTTCCCATTCTCTGACTGACAAGGGAAGACCAACAAGCCGGTCAAATGCTATACAACTTATACCATTCGACGCAGAATTTTATGCTAATTCTGAATATATATTCCGTTTTTGCTAAATGACAATCTGCCAGAAGTTATAAGCGTCTAAAGTTTTGCTAGGACTCTGAAAATGTGGTCATTTGGATCTTAGCGGACTTCTTGTGGACCGAATTCGGTGCTGCTGTGGCCAAATGTTCGGTACAACGTTCGTTTCCAGAGCTAGGGCACACAAGTTCGATCCCCGCCTTGGGTTTTTCTTTCGCTTTTTTTCAGGAAGTGCTGAGTTCTTCTAGACGCTTGTAAATTGTCATTTAGCAAAAACGGAATATATATTCGGAATTCGCATAAAATTCTGCAAATGTTGTAGGTCGCATTGCTATGCATTTGGCCGGCTTTTTGACCTTCCCTTGTCAGTCAGATAATGTGAAAGAAGGCTCGGTTTCAAATGAAATAATTACACAAAAGGCCCATAAAGATTAGTTCCAAGTTGCGATATGATTGAATATAACGGCCTTTACAGTACAATTATTGAATCCTTTAATTACAGTATCCTTAATTACCCTTAAGCCAACCCCCTTTGTAATGTGCGCACGAAAGCCGTTTGTTGGGATCGTTGAGCTTGTGGACGAGGTATATTCTCGTAGATCGGTCGCACGCATTTGCAATCGTGCACGAAGAGATTCCCGAAATCATGACATTGACCACACCAACTGAAAATAAATTTGATTACATTTTGAAGGTTGCCTTAAATGGCCCTTAAATTACCCTTAAATAGCCCTTAGATAGCCCTTAAATGGCCCTTAAATGGCCCTTAAATTACCCTTAAATAGCCCTTAAATGGCCCTTAAATGGCCCTTAAATGGCCCTTAAATAACCCTTAAATAACGGGTTTCAAGTTTGAGATCATAATTTGAAGCAAATGGAACAATGGAAACAATGGAAAGAGCGATCAATATTTTCATTGAGTCAAGCTACCAAATTGTAACCAGTTACCGTATTTTTCCTAATATTATGACAAAGGAGCGTCAAATAGTCGTTGTTTTTTCCGCACTAAATTATTTTTTCTTGCGAATCTCTGAACCGATTTTGTTCGGGTTTTTTTCTAAAAAATAGAGAAATGAGACAGCCATTTTTTCGAAGAAACCTAAAAAAAAATCAATTCAGAGGTTCGCAAGAAAAAAAAAGGATTTAGTACGGAAAAACTAACAACTACGCGATGCTCCTCTGTCATACTATTAGAAAAATACCGTATTTTGCTTTAAAAAGTTCAGTTTTTCAAGTTTCACTCTACAAATACTCGGTACAAACGGGAACTCGGATTGTTTGCTCATTCATTGTTTGTTCTTTACCTGAGCCCGAAGACATCTTTACACGAGTTGCTCACAAAATCGAACGCGCATCCGAGTGCCTCCAATGAAGAGTTAGCTGACTGGAATATATAAAAAAAAGTAAAGAAATGAATGGCAAAGAATTTGGAAGTGAGAATTGAGCCCTGGACCTTCTACTTACGAGGCGTATGCTATACCACTGAGCTATCGGTGTCTTCTTTCGGTGAGAAGAAATAGGAAAGAAAAAGAAGAAAGAGAGGGAAAATAGCTGGGTCTTCAGGCTCCCGCTTTACTTGAAAATCAGACCACATTAAATCATTTTTTTCCAAGTGCTCATAATTTCTAAAAATGCATGTTTAGTATCGAAAAATAGCGCTGAATTTCAGCTTTAATTTGATACTTAAACGCACACTGTAGCATAAATGGGTGGTGAGAAAAACGCGTTTAAAGTTAGCCTACGCGACGCTCCGACCGTCATTTTAGGAGAGCGCTTCGATTTCATTATTTACGATAGTAATAAAGTAAAGAAATTTATGGTAAAGCTAAAATTTGAAAAAGCAAAAATTCTATGAATTAAATATTTAATCGATTTAATGCAATATGTTAATATGTTGACCTGTGCATTGACGCTGACATTATCCTGAACAAAAGAGCTCGCCGGCAATGGAGAACTCGTTCGGAATGTGGCCGGGGAGAGAACTGAAAGTTGAGTTTTTTTAAAAAAAATGGTAAAATATTTGGTACATTATTGTGTATCTTCTTAAATTTTCCTTAATTTCTGAAGAAAATTACAATTAAGAGCAACGCATTCGATTTAAACTTGCTGAGTTTTAAGGGCACATTTTGAATTTAAGGGCATTTTTTTAAGCTAATTGACAAAAAGTTTCCATCAAAATTTTTATCATCAAGTATGAGTTTATTTTTTTAAAAAAATAGAGTTGTAAAAAGATTAATATATATCGTGTGCTTATGCTTTGCCCAGAACCATTAATCTTGCGTATGCTGAGTTGTAATGACTCTTTTTGAAACGAAATATTTTTCATTTGTTGTTAAAATCTTTAAAAGCAGGTTCATTATTAAAAATATAACCAAAGTCAGTGCTTTTAATTAGGTCTTGCTTTTTCTGTGTATTTATGTGCTTTCTGTGCATTTATTTATGAATTTATGTGCATTTCTGTCACAGAGCTAAAGCTGAATTGATTTTGAATTTGCTGAGTTGTAATTTTGCAGTTTTTGATTTTTTGATTTTTTGACTACCGTATTTTCTCTAATAGTAGTGCACCCTAGCGAGCCGAGTTTATTTTACGGCTTCCAAGCTTTTGCAGAAGCTCAACACTCAAATCCCCCACTAGATCTCATCGTCAGCTACATTTTCCGACCCCACATTGATAGGTTCTGATAAGCGATTCTCGAGATTTCGAGCAATTTAGGCGACGCTCTGGGTGCACTTGTATTAGAGAAAATACGATATTGAAAAAGTTTCACGAAAATTTTAAAAACAGCCCACTACAAGTTCTACTCATCTACTATCATTTTTTGTAATTTTAAGCCATTTTTCAAACACCAACCTTGTTGAATCTGTGGTTGATTTGATTGCGGTGATGGCGGTGCTTGCTGCTGTTGTTGCTGTCCAACGAATGGACTCCCGTTCACACTTTGTGGGATAATCGGTGATGGCGAGGAGAACTGAGATGGATTCGATGGGGGCAATTGAGCTGAAAGATTCAGGTGATAAAAGGATGTTTCAAAATAAGGCGTTAGTCATGGACCTCAAGCAATCACTTCAGGATCTTTTTCGAAAGGTTTGTATCAGCTTGGTGAACAAGTCTTGACCACTTTTTTTTGTAAGATTTATGCATAAGTCTTTGCAACTTTTCTATTTCTATTTGAACTATTAAAAAGATTAATTGTTCCTCTGCCAAGTTCACTAACTTTAAACTTTCCCAAACCTGGCAAATTGTTCGGCAGCTGGGTGATCGGGAATTGCTGATTTCCCGGTTGTTGTTGTCCATTCTGAAGGCGTTGATTTTGTAGATTTGATGCTGGAGCGGGACTGGGAGCCGGTGGAACCTAAGAACGCCTTTTTTCAAAAAAATTTTTAACAAAAATTTTTCAAGTCATTAAATTTTTCGCTAAATTCTGCTGATTGTCAAATTGTCAAATCAAAACATTCGCTCAAGTGGTCAAAAGTGAAACACAACTTTTCCATTCTGCATTGTCAAGTGTTTACTTGGAAAACGCTAAACAAAACGTTACAAAATTTTGATTCCATTCAAGAAATGAACAGAGAATAAGCTCGAATTTAGTACTAACAATCTAATGATGTACAATCTAATGATGCTGGTAATGCTGTATTCTTCTTCTCTAAACTTTTGTTCACATGTAGAATCTACAAATCTATAACTTTTTTTAAGAATCTACAAAAAATGCACTATAAAACTAGCCATAACACATTGAATTTGGTCGAGTAGTTTTAAAAAGCGGAGTTTTCAGTTTTTTTTACGTTTTTAACGATTTCTACTGCACCAATTTTTATGGTCCTAGGCTAGTTTTGTAGAGCAAGAAATTCCGCGTTGAATGGTACCAAAAACGTGTTATTTTACACATTCTATCGCGCGGACGGAAACGTGTTCTAAATTGAACATGACACACAGACTCACAAGAAGTTAAGCAATGGTGGTCTGGCTCTAAATAATCATCAAAAGAGCTAAAAGATTACATTTACTAACTTTTCTAGCTCTAACTATATCTAACACTGTTTCTGATTCGCAAAAAATACCTGTGAAAACTGTTGCATCGGCGGGATTTGTGGAGGGAAAGCGCCCGGGAATTGGCTCAACGAAGGCTGGGGAAACTGGAAAAACAAAAACGATGTTTCACTTTTAAGCTTTATTTCATTTTCATACTTCAGTAGTTCAGCAACGCTTTGACTTTTCAAAATTCATCAAGAAAAATTGTTATTTAAATTTGCGCAACTCAAAATTCAGCAACTAGCAAAGCAATACTTGGCTGTTCAAGCTCATAAACTAAACCATTCTTGTGAACATCAAAAACTATGCTTTTCAAATGTTTTTTCGTAATTCTATTCACTTATTGATCATTACATGATGATCATTTTCAAAAGGTAAAGCTTTTTATGAATAAATTTTCGAATTGAAAACCTGTGCCTGTGGTGGTTGCGGAGAGAAAAACGGCGGCACCGCGGCCGGGTTTGGTTGGGCGAATTGCTGAAAAAGGCAATTTTTTAAAATTGAAACCGTAATATGTGATAGCCAAAGAGCTCAAAATTAACCTAGGCACTTTTTTAAAAAGATAAACCTGAAATCCGGTGAGCGGTCCGGGGAATTGGGCTTGTGGTGGCTGTGGCTGGGGTGGTGGAACATTGAACTGACCCTGCTAAAAATTTGAGTGTTCCGAAATGCTTAAATAAGGCTTATAAAAAGTCTCTTTAGTTGTCTTCCAATGATTACAAGCCCTAGTACAAGTACAAGTTTTTTCATTTTATAAATCTAGTCAAAAAGAATTTAGGAAAGCAAAACCTGTTGAAAGAGAGCAAAATCGGGATGCTGGATTTGTTGTTGCGGTTGTGTAGGCGATTGCTGAAAGAAAAAGGTTTCAATTTTCAAAATTTCAAAACACTTACAATATTTGCAACTGTTTTTAATAAAAGAAAGCAGTTTTCAATTTTGTTAAGCTCATTTTAGCTAAAACAAGCGGGTGACTTTGTGGAAAAAGTGTTTTTCAAAGTTCGTGGCTAAAATTTTCAAAAGAACAGGGTTAATTAATATTTCGGCTTTAAATTTTAAACTAACTATTCAGTTTTTATCCCTGAATACCTTTGATTCAATTTACTGGGCTTTACAATGCTGTAAAGAGTACTTTACAAATAGCTTTACAAGCAAGCTTGGATTTTTACGGTTAACGGCAGGGGGTAGCGATTATCGGCGGGGGTCAATTTTTTGGCCAACTTGCAGCTCATTTTTAAGCACCTTAAACTTGTCAGATCAGGAAGTTTTAATAAGATTTAGATAGCTTAGAACGTCAGTTTTCAGAAAATATTTATTTTATCAGAAGTTATTAACATAAACTTATATAAAATCGGGCTGTAAGTTGGTCAAAAACTTGGCCCCCGCCGATAATCGCTACCGCCGCCGTTAACCGTAAAGGTCCGCAAGCTTTACAATATCAAAGCCAAGAGAACTCACCGCCGATTGAAAAGGCAAAGCGGCAAATTGCGGAGACAATGGAGGTGGAATGGTGAAAGGCTGAAAAAGAAAAAATTAAAACAAAATACGAATACAAATATAAAACAAATAAAACAAACAATACTTTAGTAAGCTTTACAATGTTCTAAAGCCAACTTTATAAACAAGCTTTACAATGTTGTAAAGCCAACTTTATAAACAAGCTTTACAATGTTGTAAAACCAACTTTATAAACAAGCTTTACAATGTTGTAAAGGCAACTTTATAAACAAGCTCTACAATATCAGAGACAAAAGAACACATATTTTTAGCACTAACACAGATATAAATGATTGATGATTGAAAAGTGGCAAAAAAGCCAATTTTCAATAATTTTTTTCTAAGCGCTGGTTAATGCTAGAAATATGTGTTATATCTCAAAAAATCACCTATTTTCTCTACTTTAATTTGATATCTAAGCGCAGAAAAACAGAAGTACTAATGTCGAGAAATGAGCGTTTTTTTTGAGAGTAAACTTAGACTACGCGACGCTTCTATAGGAGAGCTTCTATTAGTTTTTACGGAAGTTGAGGAAATTTTCAAAAATCTAAAATTTTATTTTTTAAGAACAAATGGACGGAACTAACAGGGAAAGAGCATAATCTTTGATAGAAAAAAATCTCTGATGTTAGGGGGGACAAACAGCAGAAGTACCGCTAAATTGAGGTCATAATGAAAGCTGCAAGATCAAATCCATGTCAAAAACAAAAACTTGAAACTTGCAAAAAGCAAGTTTTTTTCTTTAACATTAAGAAATTCTTTACCAGGATTGATTTACGCTTTTATGTTATTACATCATTAAATTTGAAACCTTTGAATTCAATTTTTCAATTTTAACAACTATGATCGAATTCGCGATAATTTCTGCCTTTTAACAGGATTTTCACGAACTTGTTGCGTTGTTTGAGTCGGTTGAGCTCTCGGTGGTTCGGCCGCAACTTTATTGTTGTTAGTTTGCACGGTTTTCGTCTTTTCTCCTTTCATTTGCGATGGTTCGACTTGTTGCTGGAGAGGGCGCTGAAAATCTTGTGTTTCAAAGTGCTCAAGGTAGAAATGTTGGATTGTTGGTGGTTTAGTTGGATTTTTGTACCTTGTGGATTGTGATGGATTGTACCTTTCGTTGAATGTACCTTGTGCTCAAAAGTTTGTAAGAAAAAAGCTATTTTATGCTAGAATAAGATTTAACACCATTTAATAGCATTAAGAACTATTTTTGAGCAAACCGTCTTCTTCAATTTTCAGTTGAACGCAAATTCCTTTTGTGGCGAAAGGAAAAAAAGTGAAAAATTGAGTATTTTTCGATGTTTATTTCATATGTGCTCCTTGTTATATTGGTTGGAAATCATTTTTAGATACAATGCCACCAATTTAGCCGAAAGAAACTCTTTTTGATTGAAGAATTATGAAGAAAATCGACAAAAATGGCAGCACACTGGAGAGGGATGGCCACAATTATGGGGACAAAATGTCAACAACCTTCCAAACATCTACTCATTCAAGGGCTTGTCAAATTCGTTGTATATTTCCTTCAATCGGGGAAACTTTTAAGAGATGTAGTCAAGAATGTAGCCAAGATAGTCAAGAATGTAGCCAAGATAGTCAAGAATGTAGTCAAGATAGTCAAGAAAAGAAAATCAAAAATGGCAGATCGGAGAGAAGCCGACTTGAGCTCATTCGAGAGCTTGTAAAATGAGTTGCATAATTCCAATCGGGAAACTTTTAATAGATAAATGTAGTCAAGAGAAAGAGCTTCAATCTTTTATATAACACATAACATATTAGGGTTGAACATGACGCTTGAGAGCTAATCAAAAAAAGAAGTCGCCGTAAATACTGAACATCTTGTCTAATTTTGTCCGAATAATTCTGATTTTGTCTTTACCTATCTAATTCCAATTCTAACTTCAAATTGCAGGACAATACTAATAAGGTTGGTGGTGCAAAGTATTATACATGAGCTCTCCTCAGTCCGCTGGAAAGAGTCTAGCCTTAAAGATAAGCCAAGGTACGAACGTGGGATTAAAGAGAGAGAGAGAGTTTAGCTACACCATAAACACTAAGTCTATACCTGTGCATCAATTTGGTATACAATACTCGTAAGCAGAAAAGATTTAGGGTCTAAAAAAACTCCCCCATTTTCCTTACCGTCGCCGTCGTCTCTCCATCCCCTTTTTTCCCAATTGTTGTCCCCTTCATCGCTTCGATTTTTTTCGGCATTGGCGTCGTCGCATCAATATCCGAATAGATCTAGAAATAGTCAACTATTAAATATTTTGTATTTCATTAATTGTAAATTATTAGGTTGTTCGGATATAAACAAGCGTTACTAAACTTATTGTTGTGAGGTTGTGAGGGAAGCTTTTAAATCATGTCTTTCTGTATTTAAAAGTACGTTATCTTGTGTATATTTGGAATCTTTTTAAACGGATAATTTCTTATTTTTAAGATCTTTTTTTCTTGCTTTAGATTTCTTGCTTCTTGCTTCAAAAATCAGGTTCGCGTCTGCCTACTTTACGACTTCAAACAGGGCAAAACAGCCGCGGAATCCCATCGAGATTTGGTCAAAGCATTTGGGAATGATGTATTTTTCGAAAGCCGATGCCGAGCCTGGTTCCAACGCTTTCGGAACGGTGATGAAAGTCTCGAGGATCATGAACACTCTCCCCCCTCAAGCTGTAGACACCTCTAGCGGTAGACACCTCTAGCGGTAGACACCTCAAGCTGTAGACACCTCTAGCGGTAGACACCTCTAGCGGTAGACACCTCAAGCGGTAGACACCTCTAGCGGTAGACACCTCTAGCTGTAGACACCTCTAGCTGTAGACACCTCTAGCTGTAGACACCTCTAGCGGTAGACACCTCTAGCGGTAGACACCTCTAGCGGTAGACACCTCTAGCGGTAGACAACGATATTTTGAGGGCTGCAATCGAATCGGATCCATGTTAAACGACGCGTGAACTTGCTCAACAGTTTCTATGTTCAAATTCTACCATTGATGAGCATCTCCACGCCATTGGAAAGGCGATCAAATGCGGGAAATGGCTTCCTCACGAGTTAAGCAGTGCAAACGCTCGTTTATATCCAAACAACCTAATATCTTTATATCTTGAAATTCTCAATTTTTTATCAGCTATTTTTTTGTCCTTTAAAAACCTTTGTTCGCATCGTCGTCCGGCCCATCGTTCGCGCGTAGTCGCGTGAGTCTTGGAACACTGAAAATCGTTTGAAATCGTTTGAAAATTGATTTTTGAGTAAATAAGAAATATGAAATTGATTTCTAAGTTCTAAATTGATTCCTATATAAGTCTTAAATAAGTTTTTTTTAAAATATCAATTGACCAATCGTCTTTTAAGGCTTTAAAATCACATACATCTCTCCGTTTCTTTCAGTTTATTCGCATGGTGTTGTTCTTCAGAGTACGGGAAAGGTCCGTAAAGAGTTGTATCTGAAAAAAAATATGATTTAATGAGCTGATTTATTAAGGTTTATACTGATTTTAGTTGAATTGCTTTAAATCAAAAATTCTTGGCAAGTTGGCGGGGTGAAAGAAAGGGAAAAGTATGCAATTTGCGCTTTCTCTATTTGTTTTATGGCTATTTTTATTAGAGAAAATATAGGAATGTTTAATGTTTTTATTTGGGCTTTATTTAATTAATTAAACTAGTAATGAGTTTACAAAGTTACAAATTTTGGATTTATTTCTTTGATCTAAAATAACAAGTTTCAAAATTGAATAAGTAAAAAGCAGGAGAAAGCGTTTAATTATTGCCTGGTAATAAGTTGATCTGTCTAGACTGTCTGGATTACGGTATTGAAGCTGGTATAGGATATTCAGTCTAGGATAGCTAGATTACGGTATTTAGTCTAGATTAGGGTATTCAGTCTAAATAGAGCATTCAGTCTAGACCGTCTGGATTACGGTATTGAAGCTAGAATAGGATATTCGGTCTAGAATAGCTAGATTACGGTATTTAGTCTAAATTAGGGTATTCAGTCTAGAAAGAGTATTCAGAGAAAGCGTTTAATTGTTGCCTGGTAAGCCTGATAAGTTCATCTTGCTTTACTTGCTTATTTAGATTGATTGTGCTTATTTATAATGTGGAAAATTTTCAAAATACAATTTTTAACCAAAACGCTGAGTAGTTACAATTAAAACTAACTTTTTTAACTTTTTTTGAGGGAAAGAGCGAAAGTTCGATAAAAATGGCAAGTTTTGCTATAGAAAGGTGACTTTTTTTCAGCGGTTTGTGAATCATTTGGCTTAGCCAAATGGGTACTACTTCTTTCTTGAAAGTTAAATTACTGGAAATTGAAAAGAAATTGTATAAAGTTTTCAAAGTGCAGTTTAGATTCATTTGTTTTACTAAATTTTCTCCAATTTCTCTAATTTCTCTAATTTCTCTAATTTCTCTAATTTCTCTAATTTCTCCAAACCATTTCTCGTTGCTTGTGGCGATATCCGATGCGTGGGCGAGCCGGCGATTTTTCGATAGAAACGACCGGATGATTTCGACAAAACCGGCCCCTTCTTTGATTCTAGAAATGGATTCGATTTTTAAAGTATAATTGTTTTTCCACTTTTTTTTATCATTTAGTCATTTTGTAGCTTGAATTGATTCTAGTGAAACTACTCTACTAAACTACTGCCAAACGATAGAGACGTCTCAAAACTTTTAAGAATTCTTTTACAAGTTAAGTTCTCAAGTCCTCAAGTTCTCAAGTTTAAACTCGAATCCAGAACTCGAGAATCATTCAACTAGAGTGCTTTGATGTCTTTAAATTTGAAAATTGCAATTACAATGCAATAGTTTAATGTGATTTCTATTCAGTACCTTACACAATACTTTTAAAATAGTAGAAATTAGTGAAAATCAAGTCTTAAGACTTGATCTTTTAAGTCTTTCGCTATTACAAATGACAAAATAAAAAAAATTCAAAAGAAAATTGTTCTAATAACCATTAATTAGGTTATGATGATTTGCTGAAATTTTGAAACAATTTTGAAACAATTTTGAAACCTATTTTTCACCAACCCAATGCATTGTATAGTGGGCGAACGTTTCTTTCCAAACGATGAAATGTTCGAGATGCCTGAATTCGACTCGACGGTGTGTGCAATCGATAGAGACGTCTGAAAACTTTTAAAAACTCTTTTACAAGTTAAGTTTTCAAGTTTAAGTTCAAGTTCAAGTTCAAGTTCAAGTTTAAACTCGAATCCAGAGCTCGAGAATCATTCAATTATTGGGTTGTCCAGTTATGAATGCGCGCTTTTACTATTTTGTAAATTTCTCAAGATATCGAACAGATGTATACACTCTGTCAAAAAATTATACACGCACCCTGTTTTTTGCTAGTTTAGAGCCGGATATAAGTGCTAGTCCAGTCCAAAGTAATTTTTTAGTTTTTTTAATGTAAAAAAACAACCCATGCAAAATTTCAAGTCATTTCACTCATCCAAAGTACTTTATCGTACAAAAACGTTTTATCAGCTGTCAAAAAATTATAGACGCACTTTTATTTGACGATTTATTTTATCGATAATTGTTAATTTTTTCGCATTTTTTTTGCTTATTAGTTATGTTTATAAATGTTTTTACATTTTCAGATATGCCACTTGGAAAACAACTGGATGTGGTGGAAAAAACGCGTATCGATGTGCTCCACACGCTTGGTCACTCAAACAGGGACATTGCTCATCGCATCGGACGTTCTGAGAAGTGTATTCGCACGTATCTCAAGACCAAAATGACTCCTAAGAAGAAAGAAACACGGGGCCGGAAGAAAAGGTTGACCGATCAAGACGAACGCGCAATTACGAGACGTCTTTCCAACACGACGACATCACTCGAAGAGGTTCGCAAGGAGATGAAGCTTCCGGTCACTCGCCAAACTGTGCACAACGTTGTCAAACGATCTACAATACTCAAATACAAACTCATGAAGCAAGCTCCACGACTTACAAAGGACCATAAAGCCGCCCGTATCGATTTCGCTCAAAAGAACCAGAAGACCAAATGGGAAGGAGTTGGTTTACTAGTATTTCTTATGTATTTTATGTTTAGATCATTTGGAGTGACGAAAAGAAGTTCAATCTTGATGATGCTGATGGTTTTCAAGGATATTGGATGGATTCACGAAAGCCGGGCATGGTCTTCAGCACGAGAAACTTCGGAGGTGGATCATATATTGTATGGGGAGCCTTTCGAGACGGTGAACTGGTCGGCTTAGAGTTTATTTCGACCCGGATGACATCGCTTGACTATCAACAAGTGTTGGACAAACATCTAGTCGTCTATCTGAACAACAATCCGGGCAATAACTTTACTTTTATGCACGATAACGCGAGTATTCATGCAAGTCGCTCCACAAGAGATTGGCTGACAGCGCACAAAATCGGCACTGTCGCTTGGCCCGCTTGCAGCCCAGACTTGAACCCGATTGAGAATGTGTGGGGGACACTCATTCGAGATGTCTACAAGGGAAACAAGCAATATTCGAGCGTGAATGAACTCAAGAAAGCCATTCAAGTAGCCTGGAATCGGCTTCAGCCAACAGCGCTCCATGACCTTGTCTCTTCGATGCCGAGACGTCTTTTTGGAGTTGGATTAAAAGAAGGAGGGCCATACATTATTAAATTATTTGGTTCGTGTTGTTATTTTTATTTCTGTTAACTTTTTCTTGATAAAATAAAAGTGCGTCTATAATTTTTTGACAGCTAATAAAACGTTTTTGTACGATTAAAATACTTTGGATGAGTGAAATGACTTGAAATTTTGCATGAGTTGTTTTTTACATTAAAGAAACTAAAAAAATACTCTGGACTGGACTAGCACTTATATCCGGCTCTAAACTAGCAAAAAACAGGGTGCGTCTATAATTTTTTGACAGAGTGTATGAGTGTTATATATCATTCGAAAGCTGAAGATCTCCTCTACATTTTGGAATAAAAAAGTTTTTGCATTCATTCAACTTTTTGGGAAATTGACTGCACAAAGGAGAGGTCGTTTCCGAAAAAAAACTCATTTCAGCTTAGCTAGTCCTCAAGTTTTATGGTGTAAGCGCCCAGAAAAGAAAAGAAAAGTAAAGATGCTCTGAAATTGTTATATTTTAAAAAAAGTTGTATTGATATATCTATTGGCCAAACATCAAACGGTTAACTCAATTTGAACGGAGCCAAAACTTGATCCAAAGGCACCCTTCCATTTTTTGGCCACCTCTTCATCTGTGCCATCAATTTGCCCAAAAGCTGAACAAATTCAAAAACTTTTTATATCAAAATGTAGAGGAGATCTTCAGCTTTCGAATAATACCCATATATATCTTTTTCTTGATTTCGGTATCTTGAGAAATTTACAAAATAGTAAAAAACGCGCATTCATAACTGGACAACCCAATATCATTCATTTATCCTCTAACGCTTGTATCAAATCTTCTAAAATGCATATTCTATGAGTGAAATCAATATATTTGTAAGCTTTTAACAATTGCTTTCTTTCTTTTTGCTCACCTTGAACTCCTCGGTAAACCATTCTCATAAAAATATGGCTGCGATCTTTTCCAGACTCTCGCCTGTGCTCGTCGATTTCCCTCACATGACAATTGGTTGAATAAAAATGTTGTAGCGATCAGAAAGGGGTACAGTAATCGCATACAGTGAAAGAAGCCTGAAAATTGTTTGAAAATCAGAATATTAATGAATGAAATGAAAATATTAATGAAATTTTTAAAAAAAATCCATACTGTATATAATTCCAAAACCTGAAATGGAAGAACTCACCATCTCGGATGGCAACAAAAAGAAAGAATGAAATAAGAAGGCTTTTTTCTTTAGTTTAAACATAAATTTTATCAAATCGTGTCAAAAAGTGTTTTTTAAAGTGCTAACTAGTAGAAGAATAGTATAAGAATTTGTGAAAGCAATTGTGAAAATTAAAAAGCAAAAGATTTTCCAGCTGGGGATTCGAACCAACTAGATGTCTTGACGATCTCGTGATCGAGATTACCACGGATGGAAATGGTCAGCCTGAGCCTAAGCCTAAGCCTAAGCCTAAGCCTAAGTCCAAGCCTGAGCCTAAGCCTAAGCCTAAGCCTAAGCCTAAGCCTAAGCCTAAGCCTAAGCCAAACACCTTCTTCGCAGATCGTCCAATTAATTCGTTATCCAATGTTCTATTAGGTAGAAAATTGAAACAGAATTTGAATGATCTTTGTTCCTTTGCTTAGACCTTTGTTTCCCCTTGTTCCTTTGTTCAGTATACTTTTACTTTTTCAGTATTATACATTGAGTTATTGCGTTATTGCGTTATTGTTATTGCACGCTCAAATGCGTCAAAAAAATACCGTATTTCTAAATATCAATATTACCATTGTGTAGCCCTTGAAAAGAGCTTTCAGAAAATGTATAACACTAATAGTTTAAACGCAAAGACAAGGGAGTTACAGACGCGCGAAAGTGACGATCGTTTTTCAATGATGATATTTCATTGTCCAGTACTACAGTCTAGTACTACAGTCTAGTACTACAGTCCAGTACTGTAATTACTCGAGTCAAATTTGCATGAGTAAATTTCGTCATCGCTTCGTCATCGCTCGTCATTTTTCTTTGCAATAATTTTCGCCAAAAGTACTGCAATTTTTGCCAAGTGTGCGTTTTAAAAAAAAACGTATTACTCACGAGGAACTCACGAGGAACACACTCTACTATCCACTACATCATGACTATCGCTGAAACGGGCAGCGTAAACTGGACTCAAGAGTTTATAGGAAAAACTTCGAGTTATTTAGTAGATTTTGATAAAATTGAAATTTTTGAGAGGTCGGAGGAGAGATCAATGGAGGAGCGATCAATGGAGGAGAGCCCAATGGAGGAGCGATCAATGGAGGAGAGATCAATGTCTGAAGTTCGATTTTGGAGTTGAAATTGAATGTTTCAAACATGGAAACAAAGGAAAAATGGTAGAAATTATCAAGAGAAATTTGAGTTTACATAAAAATACCCAAAAAAACACGTAAAAATATTTATTTGAAACTGAGAAAATTAATCAACTTTTCTTTTCTACTATACGAAAATCTTGAAAATTGACTTTATAAATCAAGGGTGATCTTGGTCAGGGCCGATTTTTCAGGACAAGCCACTCATTTTTGCTCAATTTCCAAAGGCAAGAGATACTTGAGAGTCAAGTCTGAGACTCTCAAGTCAGAGGGCCAATTCTGAGACGCTCAAGTCAGAGACCAAGTCAGAGGCCAAGCCAGAGGCCAAGCCAGAGGCCAAGTCAGAGACTCTCAATTCAGAGCCCAAGTCTGAGCCTCTCAAGTCAGAGGCCAAGTCTGAGCCTCTCAAGTCAAAGAGCAAAGTCTGAGACTCTCAATTCAGAGGCCAAGTCTGAGCCTCTCAAGTCAAAGAGCAAAGTCTGAGACTCTCAATTCAGAGGCCAAGTCTGAGCCTCTCAAGTCAAAGAGCCAAGTCAGAGCCTCTCAAGTCAAAGAGCCAAGTCTGAGCCTCTCAAGTCAAAGAGCCAAGTCAGAGCCTCTCAAGTCAAAGAGCCAAGTCTGAGCCTCTCAAGTCAAAGAGCCAAGTCAGAGCCTCTCAAGTCAAAGAGCCAAGTCTGAGCCTCTCAAGTCAAAGAGCCAAGTCAGAGGCCAAGTCTGAACCTCTCAATTCAGAGGCCAAGTTTGAGCCTCTCAAGTCAGAGACCAAGTCTGAGCCTCTCAATTCAGAGAGTCAAGTCAACTAAATTCAAAGTCAAGCCAAGCTAAAGCCAAGATTTCAGGCCAAATCCAACAGTAAGATTGTTTTAAAGGCCAATTCAAAGCTACTGGCTTTTGGCTTGGCTTTTTGGAACAAGCCTGGACTCAACAAATTTGCATAAAGTTCAATTTTCAAAGAAATTAGCTTTGTCTTGATTCGAGATTGAAAGCCGAGCACAAGAAAAGTGAAATGATTGGGGGAAATTTATTCAAGAGTGAAAGTCCTTCACTTTCTTTCACTTGACTGCTTTTTTGACTCGAAGAGATCAATCATTCGATGGATACACACTGAGACAATCCGCCTTTTCATTTCCCTTTTCCCGATTGGGTTTTGTCAAGAAATTTTCCCTCTTTTCCACTCATTTGGATGTCAAATGTCAAAATGGAAAGTGAGAGTTCGTTTTTGGGGGGGAAAAAAAAGAGGTGATGCTAGCTTTGCTTTTTTGCTTTTGATTGTGATGCTTTGATTAGCTTTTGATTGTGATGCTTTGATGAAAAATTGATTAGTTATTGATTCAACGACTAGGAAACTATTGAAACGGGAGTGGGACAAATGCGACCTTTTTTTTGCGCACCCGGACATTTGCGCATCTTTTTTTCCGCACTTAGCCCATTAGCGTACCTTTTTTCGCGTCTTTTTAGAGCAAAAAAGCTCTAAAAAGTTAATATTAACCAATTTCTATTCCAAAAGTTGTTTTTCTAGGTAATTTTAGGGCTTAGAATCGAAATTTTGACATATCAGAGCTTGTGGAAGCGAACGGACGGAGTTATACAAAGAGAAAAATCGACAATTTTCTGTAATTTGATCTAGCCGTAATTTGACCTTAAATACCTCTTGCTCTCTTATGTATTGTTAGATCTAAATATCTTCTCTTATTTATCCAGTATTACAGGTTTGGTACTTTGTGGTTTTTATCGTACAACTGACTTCAAGTCCTCAGTTAAAATTGTGATGTAAAGATCTTTATTCGTTCTATTTAATCGAGTGTTATTTTCCATAAATATTATTGTTTCGATCAATGAAAATAGCACATGAAAGGGCAGCACTTGTGAGAAAAGCCGAGTCATTCGAGCTATTGAAAAGATTTTTGACGTATCAATCTTTGTTATGTTATCAAGCTCTTTAGAAGAAGCGTCGCTTGACCGCTGACAATGATTTTGAAATTTTGACATATCAAAGCTTGTGGAAACAAACGGACGGAGTTATACAAAGAGAAAAATCGACAATTTTCTGTAATTTGATCTAGCCGTTTTGTCTTTTGGTTCCACATTGGTTTTGGTTGTTTTTGGTTGGTTTTGTTGGTTCCACACGCTCTGTTATGTCAAAATTTCGATTCTACGCCCTAAAATTACCTAGAAACCTAGAAAAACAACTTTTGGAATAGAAATTGGTTAATATTAGCTTTTTAGAGCTTTTTTGCTCTAAAAAGACGCGAAAAAAGGTGCGCTAATGGGCATGGTGCGGAAAAAAAGGTGCGCAAATGTCCGGGTGCGCAAAAAAAAGGTAGCATTTGTCCCACTCCCATAGAAAATTTGATTTGAATTGATTGAAATTTGATTTGATTTCAATTGAAAAGTCTAATAACAAGTTGAAAATGATTTTGAATTGAATTGGCTGCTTTAAAATGCTCGAAATTTTTCTTCTTCAATTCTTTTGAAAGATTTCAAGTAGTTTAAGGGAAGGATTTGAATGGGAAAAGTTTTTTGAAAAGATTTGAATAGATTTGGAAAGATGAGGGCGCGCGTTGTCGTGAATGAGAGCGATCTTTGACTTGGAGGGCCTATTCTTCTTCAAGGATTGATTTAAATAGTTCAAAAGCTTTCTTCTGACAATAAACAAGTGTCAATGTACTCGTCAAGTGTCAATTGAGAAAAAATTAGTTTCAAAGTTGGATTATTGAAAACGAAGAAAGGCGATTTTAATTGTTTAACATAAAATAAATAAATGTTAGGTTGGTGAATTGAAAACTGCGGGACTTTGAACTAAAATTTATTCAACATAAAACCATAAAACCATTCCACATAATTTCCATTATTATTTCCATTATATTATTGACGACATCTGCCCATTTTACAGGCAATTTGCGGATTCCTTTTTCGTAGTAGGATTTTGGTTTTGAATCGAAAAACTTTCAAAGCCAATTTTTGACTGCTTCTTTCGAATCGAAGTGTTCTTTCGCAAGCTCATTACTCATGATCCAGAATAAATAGTAATCAGAAGGGGCGAGGTCCGGACTGTATAGGGAATGCGCCAAAAGTTCCCAAAAAAGGCTATTTATTTTAGAGCGAGTCAGTTTTGCAACATGAGGGCGCGCGTTGTCGTGGATGAGAACGATCTTTGACTTGGAGAACCTATTCTTCTTCAGGAATTCATTCACCTTTCCCAACTGTTCACTGTATTTGATTGCATTAAGGGTCGTCTTGCTATCCAGCAACTCCCAGTGCACCGGGGTCGTAGTAGGATTTTGGTTTGTATGTGAGACAAGTGTGAGACTCAACAATGGAGGACTGGAGATCTCCAATGTCCCAGTTTGAGCACTTTCTTCAAAAGAAACCCATTTTGGTCTCCATGTCAATGGAAAAGCTGTAGAGAATCAAAAATTAGGCTTATAGCCAAATTTCCAAAAAGATACACTTAGTAGTTTCGCTTAAAATGCAAGTTTTGTGAAAATTCGTAAATTTCGCATTTCTTGAAAACCAGTTTTTGAATCGTTCTGAAAATTTGGATATAAGCTTGATTTTTGATTCTCTACAACTTTTCCATTGACACCAAAATGGGTTTCTTTTAAAGAAGGTGCTCAAACTGTCACATAAGACAATAGCCGGCAGTTTTCAATTCACCAATCCAATATTTTGCCAAATCACCAACCCAATATTTGTTTAAATGACAATAATGCTTAATTTAA